ATAAATGCAAATTTGTCAGCCTAACGATACCTACATTTCAACCGTTGGTCATATGGTAGGGTTATTTCCTAGCATGGTTAACTTGGGGAAATACTGTTCCTTCGTGTAGTGCGAACACTCAAGAAACGTCCTAACTACATTTGTATTAAGTACACGAAATCAAACAAAAACATAATGTACAGTTTAATGTAAGACTATTGTACAAATACAATATTGATATCCTTATTTGGCGATCTCTGACGGCAAGCTGTATATCTCCGTCAACATAAGAGGCAGGTGGCCTCTTTACTGGGAAAACTCTACCACTATGACTGTTCCAAAGTACAAGGACGTGAACACTACTGTCAAGGGCAACAGCAGACCAATCGTAGCGGAGGCGATCTGTGTTCGCTGTAACTAAAATAAAAAAGAATAAAAACATAGAATCACGACCGCACCTGTTGAAAGTGTGGACTGGTGGTGACGCTATTCCCGCCTCTATCATCGGATTGGTAACAAACGTCTGTTGCTTAACAACCAGTGCAAGTTACTGTATAAAAGGGAAGTGAGCGTTCCATCCTCACATCTGACTGCTGCCAGTGCTGGGTAAGCTTGTATATTATCAACATTCCTTGTTGGTAAAACATAATGTATTTTCAAACATTGTTCAGCTGCTCTTTCGAATCCAAATGTACATGTACATACTGTACAACATGATGGTAATATTTACCAATTTCAGAACTTTGCTATCCAGTGCCCTGTCTACATCATATGTTTGACAAGGGCGGTTGGGTACCGTTCGATTAAAGAGTTCACCCGAAAACCCAGGTTCAAATTTCGAGGGTTGCGTTTTCACAAAAGCTACATGCACCCCGCGTGGTTCATCACAGTTGAAATGGGCGGGAGTGTCAGGTTAGACCTGGGCATTATGGTACTTTCTACTACAGATTTTCAATATATTTCATGTATCCAAATGTGAAGTTTCTGCTTTTGTTCAGTAAATCGATGTTCTTCTTTCACGACATTCAGACAGACACCTCTACGCATTCAACCAGTCTACATTTTCAAGATGAAGGCCTCATCCCTTTGCATCCTTGTGTGCTGCCTCCTTTTCGCTGAGATGGGTAAGGCATCTTTAATGGCCCTAATGCCATACACCTCCTTCAGAGTGCGAGTGAGTTTAGTTTTACGCCGCTTTTAGCAATATTCCAGCAATATCACAGCAAGAGACACCAGAAATGGGCTTCACACATTGTGCCCATGTGGGGAATCGAACCCGGGTCGCTTGACGAGCGAACGCCTTAACCACTAGGCTACCCCTATTCAGAGAATATTAACGAACATTGACATGCGCTGATGATGTTTTACACGGCAATTTTCTGTCAAGGTCATAGTTTTGGCCACCGGGAATGAGTATTACCGAATCAGTGTGTGGAATCTTGTTATCAATGTCAACACCCACGACTGTAACCACTATTCTACAGTATCCCTACAACTATTGTTCGTTACAGTACCTTCACACCTTTCATGTAGTCGGAGATCTATTTTTCTGTTGTTGGTGTAAAGTATGATATAGTCACACAATAAAGTCATGTTTAATTGTTCTATATTAACACCACTTTGGTTTTCAGTTGTCCAAGCTGTAAGTATTCATGTCGTAGAATAGAGGCTTCAAAGATGTGATAGAGTCACTGTTTTCTCCGTTCATACTTTACGTACCCGATCTCAGTGAAACGTTGGGAATGTGAAACCCCTAGATTCCCTTCTGAAATTCAGTCGTATTAGGCACCACAATACGATATGCAGAGTTGTGTCATTAGTTGGTGTCATCACTCCCCATGTCGGGAACGCGATCCCTGTCGGATACGAAACATGCTGTGATTTATAATTATAATGAAATGTTTATAGGGTATGTTTCTTCTGCTAATCTGCTCAACAATACAGGGAATCACACCCCACAGCGAGTCCTGTTTAAGTTCTCGGCGTGAGCTGTTACAACATTACATCATGACATTGAACGAAAATTCTTATATTGAGGATGACAAACTCTAAAGCTGATTTTTCTAGTTAGATCTCAGTATACAAATAGTATATATCTAATTTTCATCATATACCAAATGTTAAAGAGAATTACATAGCAATACTGGTGCCAACGTATGACTGAAGGACTATAATATTATGACTTTTTAAATTACAAAATGGACAAATTGACAAACTTTCTGGATAACAACTTCTTTCTTACGAGAGTGCAATGCCACGCAAAGAATTTACTTTGTAAATAGATAAACTGTTGTTGGACACGTTTCTTCGTCATTCCAGATTGGGTGGCCATAAGACCATAAGTGTAAAGATACTAAGATTAGAATGCCACACTAGCTGTCATTGGAAATACTGGTCAGAAAATTAATGTAACATGTTTCAGACATCTGCAAAAGTTAGTACTGAAGATCTGCCTGTCTGCCTGTCTGTCTGTCATGCAGCATATGTACAGATTTGTGTTGAGATGACCTTGGCACTGCTTCAGTTCAGCACGTGTTAGCCATGCCATTTTATGCTTTCTGCTTGTTAATATATGCACCAGTGTACCTCATGTCTTAATATGCATTTAATGACTATAGATGCATTTGTTTTGGAGATGCTTTATTTAACACCGAAAACGATATCTTGTTTAGATTCTTCTGAGTGCAGTCATGAATCTCCGAAATGTCATATTTCCATTTCATAATAAATGTAATAAATTACTTATTTTATGATAATTATATAGATCTGCACATAAACTATAGCTTCACAGGAAACGTATGGAAAGTGAAACCTCACCCACATATGAGTCTCCTTGACCATGCGCCAAGCCTGTCCATAAGCGGACTGAACAAAGTGTAAAATCAAAATTCCCCACACGTATCATCGGAAATGTGTGACAGAACATGAACGTATGTTTCAGACGACTGCAACGACAACGAACACTACAACTCCAGCAGTGAGTAGCTGTTTTAGTTAACTTTCAAAAAGAAGCTTTCCATTCAGCTATGTATGTATGTGTGTATGTATGTATGTATGTGTGTATGTATGTATGTATGTATGTATGTATGTATGTATGTATGTATGTATGTATGTATGTATGTATGTATGTATGTATGTATGTATGTGTGTATGTGTGCATGTGTGCGTGCGCGTGTGTGCATGCGCGTGTGTGTACGTGCGTACGTAGGTATGTATGTACTTTATGCATGCATGCATGCCTGCCAGTCTAAACTTTTTGTTTGTGCATATGTATGTGTGTATACTTATGTGTGCATATGTATGTGTGTATATTTATGTGTGCATATGTATGTGTGTATGTTTATGTGTGTATATGTATGTGTGTATATTTTTGTACGCTTGCATGTATGCATGTTAATTTTGCCATATATTTTGTCGTATGTTTTATAACATATGAAAACCCTTATGTTTGTATTCTCAAAGTCAAAAAGCTAAAGGGACTCCTAAGGAACATACCAGACGATTCTCAGCGCTTCCAATACACTTGTATCTACAAACTATCCTTATTGATAGACTGTTTACATAAACTGTACATAGTTTAACAAACAAATGTTAAAGCATTTCAAACTTGGTTACCAATACCAACAAGTATTTGGGATTGGATTTCAAATGTTTCAGTACATTTCTGTTAATTACAAACATATAATGCAAAAATAATGTAACTTAGTGAATGCGTTGACCGGAAGTTCTTTTAGAGCCGTGATAACATTTAGCAGGTGTCCTGTATGTCATATGAAAGCATAAGAAACATGTAATATATCATTTTATTCCCACATAATGATCAACACTACGATTTACATCTTTCAATGTATAATGGTGGAACTAATATCTGCTTATTAAAAATAATTTAAATCATACACATGCGCCGGCATACATAAGAGGTGGTACCATAACATTTATAGAGAAAACATTTTGTTTCAAAATATTCCTTTTCTAACTGAACTTTTGATTACTGAAGCTGTGAAGTTGGCTGCAAGATGAGTTGAACTTGATATGGTCAAAAGGTCACTATCATACTTATACGTGTGTTGTTTCAGGCTGGTGTCCTGCCCGCTGTCACTCCAAAGGTAAGAAAATCAAATCGAGCTTATATCAGGTACATTTCATACCATTACCAGTTTACACAAACTAAAGAGTTATAATAAAATAAAATCGTCACTGTTCTTCTTATACTATTATGGCTAAATATCAGTACAGTCGCCAGTAACTGAAGGGATGGTATAAATCCAGCTAGGGTCCATGCAGGTAGCCAAAGTACCGTAAGTCCCCATTGTCCCTAGAGTGGTGATCTACCTTCAGTTGTTGGCGATCCTCAGACTTATTTTATACTGTATTGTCCTAATTTGAATTTCTTTTTTAGAGATATACACTAGTTTTATTTCCTATTGCTGTGATATGCTAGTTGGTTTTACTGTCCTTCGTCGACAGGTTTTTAAACTTTGCGCATTTGTCATGAATTTCTAACTGTCTTAAATCACGATATGGCTGAAATATTGCCGCTGTGACTATAAACTCTAACTCACTCACTCACTCTTCTTATGCTATATGGAGGTGCGTTGTTTCAGGCTGGTGTCCTGCCCGCTGTCACTCCAAAGGTAAGAAAATCCATCAGTACAGTCGCCAGTGGCTGAAGGGATGGTATGAATCCAGCTTGGGTCCATGCAGGTAGCCAAAGTACCGTAAGTCCCCATTGTCCCTAGAGTGGTGATCTACCTTCAGTTGTTGGCGATCCTCAGACTTATTTTATATTGTATTGTCCTAATTTGAATTTCTTTTTTAGAGATATACGCTAGTTTTATTTCCTATTGCTGTGATATGCTAGTTGGTTTTACTGTCCTTCGTCGACAGGTTTTTAAACTTTGCGCATTTGTCATGAATTTCTAACTGTCTTAAATCACGATATGGCCGAAATATTGCCGCTGTGACTATAAACTCTAACTCACTCACTCACTCTTCTTATGCTATATGGAGGTGCGTTGTTTCAGGCTGGTGTCTCGCCCGCTGGTACTACTTCAAAGGTAAGAAAATCAAATAGCATATATAAGGTACTTTTTACACCTTGACCAATTCAGACACAATAAAATGCTATGTTAAAACAGAACCGTTCAGGTCTCGAAGCTTCTTTCTTTGGCTCCATTGGTTTAGATTACAAAACCCACCAAATAAAGGTACTAGAAAAGTGAGTACAAGTGGCTTCTTAGCATATTTGAAACCCGCGAAGAACGGGTTAGAACTGGCCATCAGCACCCCATGCTTGTTGTAAGAGTAGTAAGTAATAGTCCGCTTATATGGCGCACATATCCTACTCACGTCGCTACGTACATTACTATCCCACGTCACTATCGTACTTTCCGATACATTTTCAACTCCCTGGGGGCCATATAGCCATGCTGCCTGTTAGGCGTAATGAACTAAACAGTCACATTGCCAGCACATCCTCACGGGTACACATTTTACAGCTGGGTGAACTGAGACAATGTCGATCTAAGTATCTTGTCCAAGGATACTACGCAAATTTGCCCACCTCGGGACCCGGGTGCCTCCACGGGACCGGGTGGTCAGGCTCGCTGACTTGGTTTACACAATGTCAACGTATCCAATACGCGTATATCGATGATCATTATGTTGATCACTGGATATGTCCAGCCCAGAGTTGATTATTTACAGACCGCTGCTTTATAGATGTAATATTGCTGAGCGCGGCATTAAATAACAAATGAACAAAATATAATTATATTAGAAAATCGCTTCAGGCAAATTTCGATCGCTACCTATAGCTCACATGATACCGTTACGTGATGTTGTCAGGTCTCATGTTACTAGTGTATCAAGTTATATAGGGGCGGATCTAGCTTTTTGAGAAAGGGGTTGGGGTGTATGTGTGTGTGAACACGTTTGAGAAAGAGGGGCTGTGCACACATTTCATTTTCGCGAGAGTCATTTAATAAACTTTCAGGATAAGGGGGGGGGTTGATCGCATCCCTGCAACACCCCCGCCCCCTGAATCCGCCTATGTTATAACAGAATACGTTTTTATATATTTTACACTACCATTGGCAGAACTTGTATGAATTGATCTGATAAATGTTGACCTCAGTAAAGTCAAAGTACTGATTCTGATTGATCCGAGGTTCAAAAAGTTAAAAACAAAATATAATTAGTGAAGTCACACTATCCCATTACTTTGATGGAGAAGTGCTCCGTAAACACCCCACCCCCACCCCCACCCCCGAGCCGTACACCCGACGCTGCAGCTGCCAGTCCTCGCGTTTGTGCAACGCGTATGATAACCACAGGGTATTGCAACACCCAAATCTAGCATGATATGAATGGTTTACGAGTCCCTGTGACGACAACGTGGATTACGCTCTCTTCGGCTCCGTGTAGGACAATCTTTATCGCAGTATGGCAATTTATCTCAAACAGAAAACAATCTACATTGTTTAATTCGATAACATTGACAGCGCTTGGCATTTCCTTATACTAATCTACCAAGTGCCAAGACTTTTTACCAATTTATCAAGACGTCATGTCTGTCCTGGATGTCGTTTGTTCTCAACGTTGCATGGATCGAATCATGCTCTCGTAGTAGGAACGTTGTATATGGCCTTCTTTTGTCCTAGCCGTGGTAATACCGTTGTATCCAAATGAGTTAGATCATGTTTTGGCTTGAGTGATAATACATGGGGAATTAAACGATCTTCAATGAGCCCTTATTTTTTTAAACTGCTAAGGATTTTAGACTCCACCCAAGGCGTCTTCACCCATTACTTCCGCTGCTCAAGATGTCCTGCCTTCATCGCACGTTTAAGAGCAGACAGCTCCAAAACAGGCAGGCCGTGTGAAATACGCGCCATGTCCTATGCTTGTACTTCGTCGACGGCTTTGAGACACCGTATCAATAGCTTCAAATAATAAATAATGCATTTCCCTCAATAATACTATCAGCCCTCAGGGAAGCTACCATATATACATGTACACCTGAAGAGCCGTATTTTTATTACAATATCAAATTAAAATGCTCGAATGAGTTAATGAAAGTGAGCAGCAACGTTTGCATTAAATCGACGCCGCATCCTCTACCGGCCGAACATTATTTCAAGCGATCCCATAGAGCTATGTGCCTTGGAGCGCTCTTTACGAATATCCTAAGCACAACTTGTGATTGACATATCTGAATTTTGCTCAATTCTACAATCTGATTCTGAAAATATTATGCGGCTCAAGTTCGAGACATTATGTGAAACTGTATTACTTGCTTTGATATATTATTCTCCACCCAACTCCAGTATATATTCTCCAGAAATTATCTAGGACATTCTTGAAAATGATGTGAATAATCATAAAACTGATTTTCCAAGTTCTCATGTTTTCATCATGGGTGACTTCAATGCCCGGACAGGTCGTGTACAGGATTATATAGAAAAGGATGACACTATCCCCTTACCTATAGATGACGATGTACACTATGTAGAGGCCTGTGAAGATCCAGGGTAGAATAGGTCTTCAGCAACCCATGCTTGCCACAAAAGGCGACTATGCTTGTTGTAAGAGGCGACTAACGGGATCGGGTGGTCAGGCTCACTGACTTGGGTGACACATGTCATCGGTTCCCAACTGCGCAGATCGATGCTCATGTTGTTGATCACTGGATTGTCTGGTCCAGACTCGATTATTTACAGACCGCCGCCATATAACTAGGATATTGCTGAGTGCGGCGTAAAACTGAACTCACTCACTCACTTTGTAGAGGATAGTAATTTCATCCAATGATACTAACAAGACAACGTTATAAACAATAAAGGACAATACTTAGACTAAGTTGTTTTCTGTAAAATTACTGGTCTCAGAATCTGCAATGTCGTGTTGGTAACGATGCCGGAGTAGGCAAGTACACTTGTTTTGCTAACCACGGCCAGAGTGTCATTGACTACGTTCTGACATATGAAACGTCCTTCCCGCTTATCTCATCCTTCCAAGTAGGAGATCATGCTGAATCTACCTTCTGCCAGTTACATTCTCTGTCAATATCAACATTTCGCCCAGTGTAACTTCTACTGACCCTCTACGTCGTCATACGTCGTGAGACAGCACGTGCAAACGCGCGACGATGGCTTCGTGCTTTTCATGTTTCCGGTAACCAAGTAGACCAACTGAAATATACATCGGCGTGGAAGGAGTATAAAGACTTGTGCTCACACAAAGCCCGTTGCTATCAGAACAATTTTGTAGATACTCTGATAACTGGTCTGAACACTAATGATAGTAGAAGCTTTTGGCGTATTTTGCATAATAAAATGTATGTGCTTTCAAAAGACACTAAACCTGACGATTGGATAAGCTATTTTGAAACTTTGTTTCCGGGAGATAGAAAATGTAAAGACTTTATTAAATACTATAAATATGTTAATGATTTTGTGAACTCTATATCAGCTGAAGGGATTGATGGAACTATTGATATGGAAAGTGAGTTAGATCAAGCTGTCAGTATAAGTAAGTTGTTATCAGCACCAGGCAGTATGAAGCCAGGTAAAGCACTAGGGATCGGTATTGCAGAGAATTTTCCTATTGCGATATATTGCGATGCGAAAGCATATACTGCGATATGTATTGCAATATACTGCAAGAAGTTTTTTTTAACAAAAACTACTTATAATCGAGTTAATGCTTGATTTATAAAGCAAAAACACAACAAAATCACTATGCTTGACTAGGCTTTGATAAAAACCATTAACGATGAAAAATTAAAAATGTAAATAATGTTTGGCACAAATGATACAAAGAAAGGAAGGATTTAAAAAACAGAATTATCCGAAGATTTCCGAGTGTTACAAAGTTTTCCGAATGCATGTCAAAATACCGGTTTTCGATCAGCATATCGCAATACGTATCGTGTTCATGTCTGAACCGGTAAATACCGGTAAACCGGTTATATTGCTCAGCCCTATAAAGCACCAGGCCTCTCCGGGATTTCAGTTGATTTCTTTCAGAATGCGCCACCGGTTTGTCTCATGTTGTTGGATTTATTTAATCTTGTATTAACTACTGGTATTTCTCCCGACCAATGGTCTCTTGGTATTATTCTTCCAATCTTTAAGAAAGGTAGCTCACGTGACCCTAAAAACTATAGGCCTATAACACTTTTGGATGTAGCAGGTAAACTTTGCGAAAATTATCTGCAACAGGTTAAATAACTGGGCGACTCTAGAAAGTTTTATACTTGGTGAACAATCTGGCTTTAGGAAGGGCTTTCAGACTACGGGTAACAGTGTTGTTGTTGACACATTGATCAATAAATATCTTTCCTATAAGAGAGGTCGGCAATACTGTGCTTTTATCGATTAAAAGGGAGCTTTTGACTCTGTGTATAGAAATGGTTTATTTTTTAAACTATGGAAAGGTGGTGTCAAAGGACGAATATTTCGAGTTCTTAAGAACATGTATAGATCTGTCAAATCTTGTGTCTCGTTAGATTGACGTCTTTCAGATTTCTTCGAGTGTGTCTCAGGCGTTAGACAGGGATGTCAGTGGTCACCGTCTCTCTTTTCAATCTTCATTAATGACATTGTCGAGGAGCTGGAGTCTGAAGCCCATGGTGTTACATTACATGCTTTAGAATTGTTTATCTTGCTGATGATATCATCTTAAAAGACGTGTCTGTTGTTGGTCTACAAAAGCAGCTTGACAAATTGTCTGGATATTGTGATAAATGGAAGCGTACTATTAATATGGATAAAAGTAAAGTTGTAGTGTTTAGAAATGGCGGGAAGCTTAGACATCAGGAAAAGTTGAAAATTGGTAATGATGATGTGGCAACAGTATCTAATTATAAATATCTTGGTGTCCAGTTATCTTCCTCTGGTTCTTGGTATTTAACCCAAAAGACATTAGCCCAACAAGCTTGGAAGGTTATTCAAATACTCCAGTCTAGGTTGAGTAAATTTATATCTCTGCCTCAAGTTGTTTCTTTTAAAGTTTTTGATTACCAATTTTGACTTATGGATCAGAAGTTTGGGGATTCCATTCATCGCCGCATGTCGAAAATATACACACTAAATTCTGTAAGTGAACTTGTGGATTGAGTAGAAATTGACAGAATTTTATGTGTAAATTTTGTAAAATCTATCTAGCTAGAAATTCTGTAAAAGTGTCCCATTATTTAAAAAGTGTAAAGTGTTGGCTTAGATTATTAACTCAAGAATTCAACTTGATATTAAAGAAAGCTTATACTTTTAAATATAAAAGGGCAGAGAACGGTAGTGCTTGCTTGGCACTCAAGGTTAAATCATTGTTATTTTCTTGCGGATTCGCAGAAGTTTGGATTCAACAGAATGTTGGATGGGCTGATTTATTCTTACACCAGTTTAGGCAAAGATGTGTAGACATTGAGAAAATCATGAAAATACTCAATTTTGCTCTAAACTTGAACTGTTCTTTGCTGTAAAAGATCATTCTCAATATCATATCTGGGTTCTATTTATCGATGTAAAATTATTTCGAATTAATATTTTAAATTACTAGCATATTGGATCTAATCACCGTCTTCTAATAGAAACGGGCAGATATTATAGAATTCCACGAAATGAACGTGTTCGCCCATTTTGTATTATACCTGTTGTCGAGGATGAATTTCACTTTTGCTTCGCGTGTCCATTTTACCTTGATCTGCGATCCACTCTCATACCTCAATATTTTCACTTGTTTCCAACTCGCGAGAAAATGGCCTTGTTAGTTTGCTCCACTCATCATAACATATGCAATAATCTGGCAAAATATATATTTCTTGCCGCTAAGAAAGGGATATCTGTGAAATGATCTCTTAGTTACATTAACGTCCTTAATGTACGTGTATTTTTATACAGCGCTCATGTCACAATTGTACTTCATCATGCTCTGTACTTGTATAAGGTGGCCCCTTTACTGGAATAAAAGCAACTACTACTTGTGATTGAAACCAGTTCGGCAAACACCGACAACACCGCGTGCGACAGTTTTCGATGTATGGAGCAATTGTTTACATTCCATATCTGGCAAGCGTTCTCTGTTTGGAAGCTGTGCGCCTCGAAGTTTCACTTATCGATTTCAGCCAAGTCGTAAGGGAAAGTAAGTCAATAGGAAGCTAAAGTAAGTGCATGTGCGCAATAATTATAATATAGGCCAAAATATTGTCGAAAATGTGACATTCTGCCTTTATGACGCTATAGTGACTGTTTTCCCTTGCTTATATTGAGACGATAGGAAAAAAGCATAGCGACAGGATTTCGGTGGAATAACGACAATCATGGATTAGCGAAGATAATTTCTAACCAACTGTCATGAATTGTCATGATGTCAATCACTGGGTTGTCTGGTCCAGACGCGATTATTCACAGACTGACGTCACGTAGCTGGGTTATACTTGGTTGCCTCTAACCCGGATCTTCAAGGGTGATAACGTTTTATAACCTGGTGATAGGTGGCAATAACGCAGTGACCTGCATGACCACTTGACCATTATTGTATTAAGAATCACATGAACAGTACAAACTGGACAAATCATCCTAAAATATTTCCTAATCGAATGATTTCTGAAAATATATCAATCAGTCTGAAATATTGATTATAATAACCCTCTTCTACACGGGGGAAATATTTCTAAAATATGTAATGACCATACATTATTGTCACTGCCTCAGTAAACTTCATCACAGCCGGAGATGACGGGTAAAGTGGCATATCATATTTGGCGAAATACTCACATCTTACATAATCTTCATAAATATAAAGGCATCCTACATTAATATGAATATACATATAACTATCTATATCGATTCAACAATATATCAAAATATACAAGTGAATATTTCGAAACAAGGTGGTCATAATGGTATACTAATATTTTGTTTGACCAGGTCAAAGCAGTTTGATGGATAAGTGTCATTTTGTTTCAGAACATGGCAGCGTCCGTGAAGGTATCGGCATCATTGCTGACAACTGCTCTCTTCGTCGTCCTTCAACTTATCCGCCAGCCTTGACCTTCCCAGGCAGCCTTGACCTTTCCAGAATATCAATACGCCCGCACAGAATGATGGTTTCAACGTAGAAATCTGAGAAATATGTGTGTTTATTCTTGATTTACAAAGAATGTATTAAATGTGATTTTAAACTGATTCACATAATGAGGGACATTATGGATGTCAACTTCTCCATTATGAATACATTTAGTTTATTTAATTTTGCTGTAAATGTTGTTCAATATGTTGTGTCTAAGCATGAATAAATCGGAAAGTAACATTTGAACATAACGTGCTGGATAAAAGAAAACATTAATTAGAAAATTTGATTTGTCCACGATGTTCCAAACGTTATTGTTACCATTAAAAGGCTTATAGTGAATGCAAAACTTTACGAATGTCTATGTCCTTAACAAAAACTATGTGACCCGTGTCAGAGACATAAGTTTCTTTTTTAGAGTCTATGTGACAACTTGAGACGTGATCAAAAGGTTGTTTCAGAAAGTTTACTATTTTCAAGGCCACAGAAAAGCTTTCAAACAATGTTAATGTTAGATATGTGGAAGATATTTCCAAATTCGGGGCAGTATTGCCAATAAAGGATGTCAGATGTAATTCCCAATTGTTTTTTATAAGGTTTATATTTGACTTGCCTGTTCATGTGTTTGTGGGTTGACACGTGTGGTACGTGTTTTCGCGAATCCGTGGTACCATCACTAATGTAATTAATCCAATCTCATCAGTAGCAATGACGTTTGCAATAAAAAGTTGTGATAAAAAATTCCTTGCTTGTGTTATACAGTTTTTTTCGACAACATCTTATTGTAATTGCATCTTTTGCTAAAGCTAATGAACACAGACTGCACGTGCATTCCATATCAGCGACCGTTCATAACTTAGGGTTTGGAAGGGGGTATGTTCATTTGTAAGGAGAAGCATTTGCAATGTGAATGTTACATTCATCCACTATATGTCATGTGCAAAATCAATGACCACCCCCTAGTACGTTTGCAAAATTGATGACCCTCCCTATCTCTCCAAAACAAAATGGGTGATAAGGCACCCTATCCCCGACCCCCACCCACCCTCGACAGCAACCAAATTCATCCCATAGTGGAAATATGACATTGGGGACTTGGATTGGGTCACTGGATCAACTGTATCAGTGAGACTGTGCTTCATGGTTTATTCACGCTTTCATTGTGTTCTGAGAGTTCAAGTCATGTTCAAGTGAGGAATATTCACCAGGTGTGTGGACTTCCAGAGCGACGCTGTGGATCCTTGTCTGATAGTCGGATTGATTGATTATTTTGAACTATGACATCCGTGATTATCTGGGTAAGATTGTCGTAAGAGGCGACTGACGGGATCGGGTGGTAAAGCTTGGTGACTTAGTTGACACGTGTCATCGTATCCCAGTTGGGTAGATCGATGCTCATGCTGCTGATCACTGGATTGTCTGGTCCGGAATCAATTATTTACCTACCGACGTCATATAGCTGGAACATTGCTGAGTGAGGCTTTAAAGAACAAACAATCCAAAGCATAAACTACGACATATTTATTACAACTTCCTGGTTGTTAAAATCTAACCATGGACGAGATATTCAATATCACCATGCTTTTCAACTACCTTGTGAAAAACACATGACTGCTTTTCTAGCTGATTTATGAAATATTTCCGAAGAAAAGTTTGTTCCTTAATATGATTAAGTTTAGAATAGGTCACAACAAACGCATGCCTTGAGTACACAATGTCATTTAGAGTTGGCAAATAACACATGCTATAGTTGTGGTAACAATCCTGATATAACTCTTCCACTTAAAAATGTCCGGATTAGCGAACCATTGCTTAAGGGTGTAAATATATCTACGCGTGTGGACGTGACTGACAAAATCCGCTCTCGCAATATTTCACTATACTCAATATTTCCATGTGAAAATTAAACAAGATTACCGTTGATGCATCTGAGTATCTTCAAGCGAGATAGAAATGTGTTATAATTAAACTTAAAATGAATGAAAATGTGTTATAACTAAACTATTAATGATTGGAATGTTATAATGTGGAACAATTAAACTAATAATGAACGGAGACATGTTATATTTAAACTAATAACGAATGGAGACGTGTCATATGTAAACTAATAACGAGTAGAGATGTGGTATAATTAAACTAAAAATGAATGGAAATGTGGTATAATTAAACTAAAAATGAATGGAAATGTGGTATAATTAAACTAAAAATTAATGGAAATGTGGTATAATTAAACAAAAAATGAATGGAAATGTGTTATGAATTAACTAATATGAACGGAAACGAGTTATAGTTAAACTAATAATGAACGGAGATGTGGTATAATTTAACCTATAATGAATGGAGACGTGTTATATTGAAACTAAAAATGAATGTAGATGTGTTATAAGTAAACTAAAAAGGAATGTAGATGTGTTATAATTTAGATAATGATAAATGTAGGTGTGTTATAATTAAGATAATGATGAATGTAGGTGTGTTATAAGTAAACTAATAATGAATGTAGATGTGTTATAATTAAGATAATCATGAATGTAGATGTTTAATAAGTAAACTAATAATGAATGTAGATGTGTTATAAGTAAACTAATAATGAATGTAGGTGCGTTTCAAGTAAGCTGAAATGGATGTAGATGTGTTATAAGTAAACTAAAACTGAATGTAGATATGTTATAAGTAAACTAATAATGAATGTAGATGTGTTATAAGTAAACTAATAATGATTGTAGGTGTGTTATAAGTAAACTAATAATGAATGTAGATGCGTTATAAGTAACTAATAATGAATGTAGACGTGTTATAAGTAACTAATAATGAATGTAGATGCGTTATAAGTAGACTAATAATGAATGTAGATGTGTTATAAGTAAACTAATAATGAATGTAGATGTGTTATAAATACCTAATAATGAATGTAGATGTGTTATAAGTAACAAATAATGAATGTAGATGTGTTATAAGTAAACTAATAATGAATGTAGATGTGTTATAAATACTTAATAATGAATGTAGATGTGTTATAAGTAACTAATAATGAATGTACATGTGTTATAAGTAAATGTAGGTGCGTTATAAGTAACTAATAATGAATGTAGATGTGTTATAAATACCTAATAATGAATGTAGATGTGTTATAAGTAAACTAATAATTCATGTAGGTGCGCTATAAGTAAGCTGAAAATGAATGTAGATGTGTTATCAGTAAATTAAAACTGAATGTTGATGTGTTATAAATACCTAATAATGAATGTAGATGTGTTATAAGTAACTAATAATGAACGTAGATGTGTTATAAATACCTAATAATGAATGTAGATGTGTTATAAATACCTAATAATGAATGTAGATGTGTTATAAGCAAACTAATAATGATTGTAGATGTGTTATAAGTAACTAATAATGAATGTAGATGTGTTATAAATACCTAAAACTGAATGTAGATATGTTATAAGTACCTAATAATGAATGTAGATGTGTTATAAATACCTCATAATGAATGTACATGTGTTATAAGTAACTAATAATGAATGTAGATGTGTTATAAATACCTAATAATGAATGTAGATGTGTTATAAGCAAACTAATAATGATTGTAGATGTGTTATAAGTAACCTCATAATGAATGTAGATGTTATAAAGTAACTAATAATGAATGTAGATGTGTTATAAATACCTAAAACTGAATGTAGATATGTTATAAGTAACTAATAATGAATGTACATGTGTTATAAATACCTAATAATGAATGTAGATGTGTTATAAGTAACTAATAATGAATGTAGATGTGTTATAAATACCTAATAATGAATGTAGATGTGTTATAAGCAAACTAATAATGATTGTAGATGTGTTATAAGTAACCTCATAATGAATGTAGATGTGTTATAAATACCTAATAATGAATGTAGATGTGTTATAAGCAAACTAATAATGATTGTAGATGTGTTATAAGTAACCTCATAATGAATGTAGATGTGTTATAAGTAACTAATAATGAATGTAGATGTGTTATAAATACCTAAAACTGAATGTAGATGTGTTATAAGTAACTAATAATGAATGTAGATGTGTTATAAGTAACTAATAATGAATGTAGATGTGTTATAAGTAACTAATAATGAATGTAGATGTGTTATAAGTAGACTAATAATGATTGTAGATGTGTTATAAGTAAACTAATAATGAATGTAGATGTGTTATAAATACCTAATAATGAATGTAGATGTGTTATAAGTAACTAATAATGATTGTAGATGTGTTATAAGTAACCTCATAATGAATGTAGATGTGTTATAAGTAACTAATAATGAATGTAGATGTGTTATAAATACCTAAAACTGAATGTAGATATGTTATAAGTAAACTAATAATGAATGTAGATGTGTTATAAGTAACTTCATAATGAATGTAGATGTGTTATAAGTAAACTAATAATGATTGTAGGTGTGTTATAAATAAACTAATAATGAATGTAGATGCGTTATAAGTAAACTAATAATGATTGTATGTGTGTTATAAGTAAACTAATAATGAATGTAGATGTGTTATAAATACTTAATAATGAATGTACATGTGTTATAAGTAACTAATAATGAATGTACATGTGTTATAAGTAAATGTAGGTGCGTTATAAGTAACTAATAATGAATGTAGATGTGTTATAAATAATGTAGGATGTTAGTTATAAACTAATAATGAATGTAGATGTGTTATAAGTAAACTAATAATCCATGTAGGTGCGCTATAAGTAAGCTGAAAATGAATGTAGATGTGTTATCAGTAAATTAAAACTGAATGTTGATGTGTTATAAATACCTAATAATGAATGTAGATGTGTTATAAGTAACTAATAATGAACGTAGATGTGTTATAAATACCTAATAATGAATGTAGATGTGTTATAAATACCTAATAATGATGTATATGTGTTATAAGCAAACTAATAATGATTGTAGATGTGTTATAAGTAACTAATAATGAATGTAGATGTGTTATAAATACCTAAAACTGAATGTAGATATGTTATAAGTACCTAATAATGAATGTAGATGTGTTATAAATACCTCATAATGAATGTACATGTGTTATAAGTAACTAATAATGAATGTAGATGTGTTATAAATACCTAATAATGAATGTAGATGTGTTATAAGCAAACTAATAATGATTGTAGATGTGTTATAAATAACCTCATAATGAATGTAGATGTTATAAGTAACTAATAATGAATGTAGATGTGTTATAAATACCTAAAACTGAATGTAGATATGTTATAAGTAACTAATAATGAATGTACATGTGTTATAAATACCTAATAATGAATGTAGATGTGTTATAAGTAACTAATAATGAATGTAGATGTGTTATAAATACCTAATAATGAATGTAGATGTGTTATAAGCAAACTAATAATGATTGTAGATGTGTTATAAGTAACCTAGATGTTATAAGTAACATAATGAATGTAGATGTGTTATAAATACCTAATAATGAATGTAGATGTGTTATAAGCAAACTAATAATGATTGTAGATGTGTTATAAGTAACCTCATAATGAATGTAGATGTGTTATAAGTAACTAATAATGAATGTAGATGTGTTATAAATACCTAAAACTGAATGTAGATGTGTTATAAGTAACTAATAATGAATGTAGATGTGTTATAAGTAACTAATAATGAATGTAGATGTGTTATAAGTAACTAATAATGAATGTAGATGTGTTATAAGTAGACTAATAATGATTGTAGATGTGTTATAAGTAAACTAATAATGAATGTAGATGTGTTATAAATACCTAATAATGAATGTAGATGTGTTATAAGTAACTAATAATGATTGTAGATGTGTTATAAGTAACCTCATAATGAATGTAGATGTGTTATAAGTAACTAATAATGAATGTAGATGTGTTATAAATACCTAAAACTGAATGTAGATATGTTATAAGTAAACTAATAATGAATGTAGATGTGTTATAAGTAACTTCATAATGAATGTAGATGTGTTATAAGTAAACTAATAATGATTGTAGGTGTGTTATAAATAAACTAATAATGAATGTAGATGCGTTATAAGTAAACTAATAATGATTGTATGTGTGTTATAAGTAAACTAATAATGAACGTACATGTGTTATAAGTAAACTAATAATGAATGTAGATGTGTTATAAGTAAGTAATAATGAATGTAGATGTGTTAATAGTAAACTAATAATGGATGTAGATGTGTTATACATACCCAATAATGAATGTAGATGCGTTATAAGTAAACTAATAATGAATGTAGGTGCGTTACAAGTAAGCTGAAATGGATGTAGATGTGTTATAAGTAAACTAATAATGAATGTAGATGTGTTATAAGTAAACTAATAATGAATGTAGATGTGTTATAAGTAAACTAATAATGAATGTAGGTGTGTTATAAGTAAACTAATAATGAATGTAGATGTGTTATAAATACCTAATAATGAATGTAGATGTGTTATAAGTAAACTAATAATGAATGTAGATGTGTTATAAATACCTAATAATGAATGTAGATGTTATAAGTAAACTAATAACGAATGTAGATGTGTTATAAGTAAACTAATAATGAATGTAGATGTGTTATAAATACCTAATAATGAATGTAGATGTGTTATAAGTAACTAATAATGAATGTAGATGTGTTATAAGTAAATGTAGATGCGTTATAAGTAAACTAATAATGAATGTAGATGTGTTATAAATACCTAATAATGAATGTAGATTGTTATAAGTAACTAATAATGAATGTAGATGTGTTATAAGTAAACTAATAATGAATGTAGATGTGTTATAAGTAACTAATAATGAATGTAGATGTGTTATAAGTAAATGTAGATGCGTTATAATTAAACTAATAATGAATGTAGATGTGTTATAAATACCTAATAATGAATGTAGATGTGTTATAAGTAAACTAATAATTAATGTAGGTGCGTGTGTTATAAGTGTGTCAATGCGAGTCGACACATTTACCATTAGAATGAAAACCACGGGGACGTATTTGACGACAAAGGAAAGCTACTCTTGCAACCCCGACTTTGTTTGTTTGTTGTCTAACGCTACACTCACCAATACCCCTGCTACCTGGCAGCAGTCTTTAAATAATCGTGCCTGGACCAGACATTCTAGTGATCAACAGCATGAGCATCGATCTACGCAATTGGGAAACGATGACATGTGTCAGCCAAGACAGAGAGCATGGCCACTGTTCCAGTTAGTCGCCTCTTACGACAAGCATGGGTTAATGAAGATCAATTCCAACCAGGATCTTCACGGGTAGCGTTGCCTCAGACAGCTTTACCCCACTGTGTAATAGGAAAATGGAATGTTAGCGTCAGGGACATGTATAATTTCAGTGTAGTCTATTCTCTGAAAACAGTGACGGTGGTACAGGAGTATATGTATTCGAATACAATATGTATACAATAACGATGAAGATGACAACATATTCATGTGATAGAGACACTTTAATGTAATAAATGTATTTACATGTGCAATAGATCTGGACAAATGTTTCAAAGTGGCTGTCGGTTAAGGTGATAATGTTTTGCGGAACTTATGGAACATATAGTCATTTTGAATATAAAAATGTACTTACATGTGAAATAGATTTGGACAGATGTTTCAAAGTGGATGTAGTTTCAGGTGATATTCTTTTACGTTATTTATAGAATACACAGTAATCTTTTTATGTAATGTATTTTTCAATGTGTCACTCAGTTTGTAGTTCTGCCTCAAAGTGTCGTTTTGGTCTATGTAATATAACATTGAGCTAATGAGCTAAAAATATGGGACACAATGTTTTCTACATTACCTGGTGGTGATACAGACATGAGTTAGTCAATGTCGACCCCATTCGACGAACGTATTTAAAAAACACCGGGTACACAGAGTGCAAATGTATGTCATATATACACAGTCAGAGGCATGTCACGATTACAAATTTGACGATTACATAATATCTGAAATGTAAATGAATTTACATGTGAGTATATACATTATATGTGCTCTAATGAAAACGATATGTACAATTCGCAAGTTGTATGATATTACTTCTAATTAAGTAAGGTTGGAACAATTCAGCTGCCTAGCAACTGATTGTAAACGTGTTTCTACTGATACGACAAAAGGAAATTAGTTACAATAATACATAGAACGTGTCTTGTGGATAATAGTAGGCTGTGGACAATGTGTCAAACACTGAAAGCATGGAAAACATCATACAAACAGAGAGCAGCTGAGTGAAGTATTATGACAGGACAGTTAGACAAGTAAAACTGACGGTGCCACTTAGGTAGCTGGTCATGTCAAATTGTGTTCAATTTTAACGAAATTTTTAAGAATAACTAGAAATAATCGGAAAAATAATCGAAGTAACAAGAAAAATCCTTCTTTCTAAAAAATCAGCAAACGAATGTAATAACGAGAAATTTCGACTGAAAAATTTAAATTTATGCTACCAAAGTAGCACCATTAAACGTTCCTGTGAAGCAGGTGTTGCTATGGGTACCAACTGTGCACCCTCCCTTGTTGATCGCTCACTTGTCGATGTGGTCTTAAGTGGTTTCCATGAAGACATGGTGATACGTGGCCGTCGACATGGACGTGGTCTAACGTGGTTTGAATAGACCGCTGATCAGCCTTGCAATCACGTCAGCGTCAAGGATTAATATCAAGACGCCAGTAAACGCTAGTAGTGCTATTCCTATATTACCAATAGCTTGGGCAGAGGGTCGTTCGTCTCTAGCTGACGTCTTCTTCCTCTTGAAGCTGGACAGTGTCGTCTTCTTCACGATCAATTCCTTTATCAGTTTGGAATGGGAAGCGGTGCGGTTTTCCAGGGTTCCGCAAGGGCATACGCAGGTTGCTGAAGTTTAACATGCAGTGAGTGAGAAATTTAGGTCGATCGAATACTCGTGAGATCGAAGCCTCCCAGCTGTTTTCACAAGTAGAGTGTTTTATTATCGGATTTCTCAAAACGCGATAATTACGTTTGCTTTGGGTATTGCAGGCTAGCTACGAGCGTATTCTCGAAACGTTCGTAGCCCTACGAACTTCTTAAGCCCATTCTTAGCACATTGGCTACGATCAAAGTTAAGAATTCTAAGGGCTACGAACGTTTCGAGAATAAGGGCCCAGGATAAGTATTCTGGCACCAATAACACGAGAGCCTATAAAATATGAAACTGAAATCTTTACCTAAAGGGGGCAAATTTTCTTTTTTCAGAACTAAAGACTATGTATCTTCTTCTCATCTATCATTGTTTATGAAATTGTAAATACTCACTGCTGACCATCCTGCTCGTCGTTGCATGTACAGGATCTGCCAAAGTAGTAGAAGACACCTGCAGCATGTTAGTTGAATACGAAGAAGCTGATTGTGGAACTTCCGTTGAGTCAGTCGTTGTTCCATACACAGGTCCGGCCCAAGTAGTAGAAGACACCTGCAGCATGTTAGTTGAATACGAAGAAGCTGATTGTGGAACTTCCGTTGAATCAGTCGTTGTTCCATACACAGGTCCGGCCCAAGTAGTAGAAGACACCTGCAGCATGTTAGTTGAATACGAAGAAGCTGATTGTGGAACTTCCGTTGAGTCAGTCGTTGTTCCATACACAGGTCCGGCCCAAGTTGTAGAAGACACCTGCAGCATATTAGTTGAATACGAAGATGCTGCTTGTGGAACTTCCGTTGAGTCAGTCGTTGTTCCATACACAGTTCCGGTCAAGATAGTTGGAGACATAAGCAGTGCATCACTTGAATACGATTCTTTTGATAGTGAACCTCCCGTCGGTCTAGTCGGAACGGTCGATGTTTGCATGTGACCGGAAAGAGGAAAAATGGCTTTAATACTGCTGGTGGAAGCCACAGCCCTGGAAAGTTCATTGGTCACTTCTTGGATAGTTGGGGAAGGCAACGCTGCCGTATGGGTCACTGTACTGTCAAGACCCGTGTCCAACATATTTGAGGATTGTAGATGATAGGAAGTAGGAGGAATTGCAGTGGTGGTTACCATGGTAACAGATGAGGAGGAAAGGGAGGAGGAGGTGAGTCCATCCGTAATTGCAGAGTAAGTTGCTTCCGTGATGCCATCAGCGAATTCATTAGACATTGATTCTTCAGGTAGGCCTTCGTCACATGAGAGGAGGAAAGGTTCGTCCCACAAGTCCATATTATTGTCGTCAATAGTTTGGTCTGGCAAACACAAAAAACACGGACTGTGAACAATTGACATGCCTATTTTTCGGATGCCATTTTGCGAACACATGGTAATTATTACATCTGATAGTGGATTCTTAAACACATGCTTATCACAATTACTTTAGGCGGAATTGCGCAATGGAATGGGTTTTGTCGACTGACCTGTAAGTGAATGTGTCTGACTTTTACGCCGCTTTTAGCAATATTCAGGCTATATGACGGCGGGAACACCAGAAATTGGCTTTCCACATTGTACCAACGTGGAGAATGGAACCCGGGTTTTCCGTGACGAGCGAGCACTTTAACAACAAGGCTACCTAGCCGCCTCGCCACTGACCTGTAGTTATGTAGGATTATGTTCACCATCTTATACTTGTTGTTCATAATATAGTTACACCAAATTGAGTGAGTGAGTGGTGTTAACGACGCTTTGAACAGTATTCCAGTTGTAGAGGCTGTGTCAGTACCATGTGGGAAGATAACCTCAAGTGATGCCGATCTCAGGTGTTTATCACTTACCCGGATCTTATCGTCATCGGGGAGGTGGTGTAACCTAGAGGTTAAAGCGTTCGCTTGTCACGCCGAAGACCCGGGTTCGATTCCCCACATGGGTACAGTGTATGGGGCCCATTTCTGATGTCCCCCGCCGTGCTATTGCTGGAATATTGCTAAAAGCGGCGTAAAACCATACTCACTCACTCTCTTACCATCATTTGGAAGCAGGACATGGTTATCTTAATATAGTCAGATTTACCACTGGGGCACGATTGAGATGAAACATACGACTGATCAGGTCCTGTTTGAGGACTAATAGTCATATTAATAGAAAGTTTCATCAATAAAATCTGCGTGGTAGTTGGTATCTGCGCTCTTAGGGCCCCAACGAAAAGATTCGAAGGAATATGGGATTTGTCATGTGCAAAGCCAATTCTGGCTACTATGTAAAGGCGCCATGTTTTACACAGTGTTGTTGCACCCGTGAAGATCCGGGCTAGAATTGGTTTTCAGCAACCCATGCTTGTCGTAAGAGGCGACTAACGGGATCGGGTGGTCAGGCTCGCTGACTTGATTGACACATGTCATCGTATCCCAATTGCGTAGATTAATACCGATGATGTTGATCACTGGATTGTCCGGTCCAGGCTCGATTATTTACAGACCACCTCCATATAGCTGGAGTATTGTTGAGTGCGGCTTTAAACAACAATGAATGAATCAATCAATACAGTGTCTTTGCGTGAATCGTGATCCGCTGCTTAGGAGAATATTTCAGTATGTAAGCTACAATTGAGTGAGTGAATTTAGTTTTGCGCCGGTTTTAGCAATATGCCGGCAATATCACGACGGGGGACACCAGAAATGGTCTTCACACATTGTACCCATATGGGAAATTGAACCCGGGTCTTCGGCGTTACGAGCGAACGCTGTAACCACTGGGCTACTCAAATGAACCGGTTAAAAGTGAGAGAAAAGTTAAAAGGGAAATACTTACAAGAATGGCACACCTTTACGCTGACATGTGGCTTGGCACCAGATGTTGAATTTGGAAATATGAGGAATTGTCCAAGATACAGCTCGCACATTTTGTCATAATAGGAATAGCCAACACATTGTTTTACTTCCTGATATTCAAGGCATGCTTGTTGACAGTTGATCTCAGCAGACATCACGGCACCGTCCGTCCGTTCCGTTCCGGACTCAAAGAACGCAGGGTTTGTGAACATACACGTCCCTGCCTCTGACAGTTTAAAGCAAAACATTCTAGGGTGAAAAAAGGTTTAAAGTTAATGAAATTCTAAGAACTGTTACGTGAGCGGTAGCCTCTGCTCATAGTTTTTCGATAAAATATCAAATCAAATCGTAAAGAAGATATGACGATGATTTATGGATCCATTTTGAAGGAATATGTTTACTTTTTGTGTCCATATTTATAAACGACATTAAGGAAGGAAGAAGTTGATCATGAGTACAATGCGCTTGGTGGCTCATTCGGGCCATCGCTTTATCGCCCTGAAGAAATCTAGCGATAGTACGACAAAGCGATATAGCGATAGTGCACGACACGATATAGCGATATTGCGATACAGACAAAAACGAAATAGCGATATCACGACACGACATGACGATAACAAGACACGATATAGCGATAACGCAACACGAAATGGCAACAACTCGACACGACATTGCGATAACACGACACGAAATGGCGATAATACGACACGAAATGGCGATAACACGACACGAAATGGCGATAAAAAGACGCGAAATTGCGATGTGGCGATAACGCGAAAAGGCGATATTGCGATATTGCGATACAGCGACATTGCGATATGGCGATACAGCGACATTGCGATATGGCGATATGTAGAAAAACGGGTAAGTTGATTCATTCTTAGTATTCGATAATATATGGGATAAAGCGATGGCCCGAATGGTGGCTCATTCGGGCCATCGCTTTATCGCCCTGAAAAATCTAGGCGATATTGCGACAAAGCGATAGCACGACACGATATTGCGATATGGCGACACGATATAGCGATATTGCGATACAGCCCAAAAACGAAATAGCGATAACACGACGATATGGCGATAGCAAGACACGATATGGCGATAGCAAGACACGACATGGCGATAACAAGACACGACATTGCGATAACACGACACGAAATGGCGATAACACGACACGAAATGGCGATAACAGACGAAATATTGCGATATACGATATAGCGATACGGCGATAATGCGATATAAACAGGCGACACGGCGATAGTGCGACATAACGATATGACGATATAGCGATACTGCGATAAAGCGAAATTGCGATAATGCGAAATGGTTAAGCGACATGGCGAAACAGCGATATGGCGATAAAGCGATATATTCATCTTTATATGAGTTTGTGTGTATGTGGTATGTACTTATGTGTATCTGTGTGATGCGTCCATGTTGTATTTGAATTAGTCTCGTATTAGTTTAAGTGAGAAAGCAAAAACTTTCTAGGGGATTTCACGTAATGATAATATTCGGTGTATGCAAATGGATTTTATGCAATAGTAATCTTCTATGCATGCCCATCATAAATATGGTGCTATTGTGTAACTCATCGTCTGAATCATCAAAATGCAGCAACAACCGAATAATACAAACAGAAAGAAACAAACATGATCGTCGAAGCACTAAAAGGTGGAGTGGTTATTATTATTTAAGACTAGATCTCTTATAGCAACTTCGGCGTCATATCACCACTAAATAAAGCACAATGGAACAACGTCGGCGAATGGAATCACTGTTCCATCCAAAAGTGTTGAAAATTACACTAAATGTAAAAATGTTTGACTTATTTACCGGTTTTCTTTAAATTGTCATTACTAGCATATCATTTGGCTGATTATATTCAATCTTAATACATACAACACGAAGTAAAAGTTCGTTATTGTACAAATTTATCATTGTCTTATCTTTAAAACCATCGTATGAGCTACAACCAAATCGAGAAAGTGTTACTCTTACTTTGTAAAAGATAAGGTTCTACTTTTTTAAAATAAAGTGTACTATTCAGCTTTTTCTAGAATTGGGTAAACTGCCATGCCGTTTTGAGATGTACATGTCTTTTAAGGCCCATGTTAAACGCCTTATCAACATCTGTAGCGAGTATACGTGTTGTAACTAAATATACACATGAGCGTTAATTAAGCACAACCTGAAACTAAGGGCAATTTTAAAACTTTTAGCTCAAACAGGCGATCATACTAGAATGCACATGTAAAGCACGTGCTTCACCCAATCTATAAAATGCAGTGGGTCGCAGGTTCATGTGCTGCGAACGCGCCTAATACATTGGGGTATATATTTCAAAATTGCAGTATGTGCAGTCTGAACTGATATAAAAGATGACAGTACATGTATCTTTCCAGTAAAATCCTAATGCTCTTGCCTCCACAAATCTGATAAAAATAAATGAATTGGACCTACTTTTGAAATCAAATACTTTAATCCAATCATGTGTAACATTGTATCCCGGGCTGTTTAGTTGGGCTATCTGTCTCCTTAAACACAGAAGTTCCTCAGCGGGTCCACAACACTTTATTCGGCGTCAAATATACAATTACATGATAGTACAGCAACGCACAGATAGCATCTCAGAGGGGATCATCAGTCCACCTGCCTTGCCGTTTTATGAGGGTCCAGTCCCGTTGAAAACCAGAATTCTACATATATTCTCACTTTCAGGCATCTTTGTATCGTATGTACAGTACATGTATGGTCAGTCTGCAGTACCCAGTACCTCATCCACAATATTAAGCTTCCGTGGCCAACCGGCCATTTGCTGCTGGCCTACACATGGCTTTGCTTTTAACTGCACTGTAAAGATTTAGATATACTACTTTTACTTAACTTAGTGAGTGAGTTTTGTTTTACGCCGCACTCAGCACTATTCCAGCTATATGGTGGCGGTCTGTAAATAATCGAGTCTGGACCAGACAATCCAGTGATCAACAGCATGAGCATCGATCTGCGCAATTGGGAACCGATGACATGTGTCACCCAAGCCAGCGAGCCTGACCACCCGATCCCGTTAGTCGCCTCTTAAGACAAGATTGGGTTACTGAAGATCAATTCTATCCCGGACCTTCACGGGTGACTTAACTCAGGAATACACGAACATATCTATACTCCCCTTTAAAACCTACATCCCGCCAAATTGCCAACAATAATAGTCAAAAACTCTGAGATTGATTTACTATACAGTGGACTCTGAATTATCCGACAATCTGTGTATTCCGACATATATTTTGGGCCCCGGCAGCGTTCTTCTATATTATCATCATATTAATATTGAATTATCTGACTTCTGTACATTCAGAATTCCGACACCATTTTCTGGTAACAATGACACTATCACGCTGTACAATCCGACATCCTCTCCCCATATTAGACTAAAATAGCCAATCAACCTGTCAATGGCTACAATGGAGGATTTTTTCATGAAAGTGTGAATATGATTGTGATTGGGTAGTCCGCATGGTATGTACATTGTACTGAAGAGAATAAATACCAATGATACATGTGTATGTAAATACTGATTTTGTTTTTTCCCCTTTATTCACCGAGTAAATAGCTATCAAACATTAATTTCATGAAGCCAGTTACAATGTATGGTACTGTTTGAAAAGTATTCAAGCAACGAGACAGTGAATTATCCGATACGCTGTATAATCCGACATTTTCCCCCGGTCCCAGTGAGTGTCGGATTATACAGCTTCCACTGTACCTACTGAAATTATTTTGGTGTGCAATGTATTGTTTACTTATTTATAGATAGAAGAAGAAAAGTATTCTAGAACTTTTCGTTTATAATGATATTTTCCTTTCTTGATAAGCAACCATCATTCTTAAAAGTAGACACTTCAGAGATCGATTTCCCATAAGATTAGGCAGATCGATCAGGCACCGTAAGAGCCCAAATCTATTCTGATGAACTCTTATAGCCTACAGAATTCTCAGGATCTTGACATGGACAAGTATCACAGTTTGGAATATGTCATCTCTCATTGTGCTTTTGGATGAGCTATTTCAGTAGAATGGACGGTTTTACGAATGCGTTTATCTCACATACTATTTTTTCACATTTTTTATTCACTTCACTTGGATACACTTTGTATGAAACAATCCGTGGACATAGTTTTGTAATGATATATTATGAGAAATGGCATGTCACTTTGTTTCAATTTCACTGGGAAATAAATATGTAAAACTGGAACAAACGCAGATACACTTGAGTAGAACTATTTCATTGTCATAATCACAGAACATTTTGGAGCCTAATCCATTTTCTCTCAAATAAATTCATATTGAAATTGTTTCTGGCAATATATTTCTCAATGTCATACACATCTTTTAATAACCCTTTATATGTGGTGAAACTTGGTTTCACACCCTTGATATTCCTGACAAAAAATGTGGCGCTTGGCTAGTATGATCATATGGTTGAGCAAGGGGTCGCTATTCGCACAAAATAGTATATCTTGAGCTGAGAGTACGAATGTTCTGTGCAAGACACAATTAACAAAACCGGTGAATTCTTTCCAGAATAATCTAATGATGGGACTTTCAATATATACATGATAAATATTCTCACTTACGTCACACGATATACATATGTCATTATCAACTAGTTTCATTTTAATGTATAAATAACTCTATTAATAAATTTGTATTGAAAATCCAAAAAGCTTTGGGTCTTTAATGGTTAGTCTATATTGCACAAATATGGTCTTCCAATCGATATGATCGTTTACTTCACTTTCCCATTTATCGCATACGTTTGGAAAATTGGATTTCGATATGAGACTCGTAAACTAATCTATATCCTTTAGTCGGTATAATAAGATCATTCCATGGGGAACTTATCGATACCTTTGTTATGTTTGGGTGTCCAGCAGTTTGAATGACTTCTTTCCATTTTGGGGGAATACTGACGATGACACGATTTATGTCAAGTACTGTGCCCTTAATATCAAATTTTGTTTTAAGTTCTGCAAATGAGAGTACCTCTTGGTCATTGAAAATGTCTTTAATATTAACAATTCCTTGTTTGAACCAGTTATTGATTATCAAATATGTGTTGCGAAACTGGTGATTTAACCAGAGAGGTTGCATAACAATGTCGTTTATGTTGATATGATTCACTACATATCCCTTTATATATCTATGCCAGGCATCAAGTGCATCTTTATCTCACATACTTCCCGCTATCTTATTATTGAATCCTGAGAATGAATCAACTTACCCGCTTTTCTACATATCGCCATATCGCTGTATCGCCATATCGCCATATCGCAATGTCGCTGTATCGCCATATCGCCATATCGCGTCGCCATATCGCAATATCGCCTTTTCGCGTTATCGCTATATCGCAATGTCGCCTCTTTTTATCGCCATTTCGTGTCGTGTTATCGCCATTTCGTGTCGTGTTATCGCCATTTCGTGTCGTGTTATCGCAATGTCGTGTCGAGTTGTTGCCATTTCGTGTCTTGTTATCGCTATATCGTGTCTTGTTATCGTCATGTCGTGTCGTGTTATCGCTATTTCGTCTTTGGCTATATCGCAATATCGCTATATCGTGTCGCCATATCGCAATATCGTGTCGTACTATCGCTTTGTCGCGATATCGCCTAGATTTCTTCAGGGCGATAAAGCGATGGCCCGAATGAGCCACCATACGTGTCGCCTGTTTATATCGCTGATCGCCGTATCGCTATATCGCAATATCGCTGTTTCGCCATTTCGTGTCGTGTTATCGCCATTTCGTGTCGTGTTATCGCCATTTCGTGTCGTGTTATCGCAATGTCGTGTCGAGTTATCGCCATGTCGTGTCTTGCTATCGCTATATCGTGTCTTGCTATCGCCATATCGTGTCGTGTTATCGCTATTTCGTTTTTGGGCTGTATCGCAATATCGCTATATCGTGTCGCCATATCGCAATATCGTGTCGTGCTATCGCTTTGTCGCAATATCGCCTAGATTTTTTCAGGGCGATAAAGCGATACAACAGTGATTTAACGACATGTTTAATTAGCGACGGCCTTGAAACAGCAACACTTTCCGGTGTCATAGCGACCTTTTTCGCCTTCTCTGAGAAGAGCACTTACAAAGGACGTAATCCGAAACCCGTTTTGTCAACTTTCCTTTTCTCTGCCGCTCTGCACGACAATACGGTTTGTAAGGATTGAAGTTCTCTGAACGTTTCACGAACAGTCATTTCTCGAAATACTCCCAGGCCAAATGTTGAGACAGCAGTAAAATCAGGTAATATGATACCCCCAGCCTTAACACCCCTACTGCATACCTTGACCATGTTGAACACCAGTGCTTGTCACCGTCCATGATGTGGTTTATACTTATATAGTTGGCCTATGAACATGTGGACACTGTTTCAACAGAATGTAAACCTGTGGCTTGTTCCATACCAACACGAATTTCTGGAGATGTGTCATACTAATTACTGGAAAACACTTTACTGCTGCGAGATCCTAAAAGTTGGGGACTTTTCTAGCATTTCGCCTTGGACTAGAAAGGTAAGTATTCCTGACCTATTAGCTCCTGCCTATCGAGCTCTACCCCAAACAACTGGAACCTATTGCGATTATTTTATTTTTCGAAATCGGCAAAGAATTCTTTCAACTATTCATGACATATAATATACATTGCTGGTTATGAAAAAACATATAAACAAAATTATAAGCGTACAATCGCAAATCAAAAGTGCAATATTGTGTACTTGGGTTTACTTCCCTCGAAACGAAGCAGCCGGGATACCGAACCCAGTCAGAGCGGGTGGGTGTGCACTCAAGTGTAACGGCTGGTTCATTTGCAGATGCCCTCACGGCTCATTGTGTGTGTATATATAGAGATGTTGGGTTTTGTAAATACATGCTCATTTTTTGTGTATAACATTTTGCAATCAACAGACATCATAACATGTCATGTGTTCAAGTATCACACCTGCCTGTCTGTGTAATTACATAATGTGACAGAGACCGAACTCGGGCCATAAATCAATGCATTTTGTTTATGGTGTATAGCCTGATTGGTGTTAAGTTCAAATTGCATGTGGTCAGTGATCGCAGTTGTGTATTGAATATTGTCATTAGCAGACAGGCAGGCAGACACACAGGTGTCAATAAAACAAGACATTGAGTTTTGTCTGTGACAACGACATATCTATATCACAGTTAGAAATTCTGTCAACGCTAAATAATGACATTGCTTTTAAGCATCGAACTGAGAAAGTGACTCGGTAAGAAGAACGTGTGGTGAAATAGACAAATGAAATTATATAAACAGTTAATTTTACTGTCATAACATATAAAAAAGCTCGCGCCTGTGAGATATCAACAAACATTAGAAAAATAGCTCACACCAAAGCCTTCACCGAGTATTCACCGGACAACCCGCTTCCAAGTTGCGCGAACCTATTTCACTGCGCACGTGCTATGAGCGCAGCCCAGCTGTTGAAACCACTTGAATTCCCCCAAACGCTGGGGGAAAATTAGTGAATCGTTTGAACTACGATTTCGCGCGGTTTTTTCATCGCGTTATTTTTCAACTTTATAAGTTGAATTTGCATTTTTGATGATTTGTTTCGGTAAGTCCATACCGAAAGGTATCAGAATCTGCAAAGTTGTGTTTTACGTTGCATGTGACCTTACAGCATGCGTAATACCATAAACCAGACATCCATGCTAATCTATAAATATCTATATATGGACAGATTGAAACCCCTTGCACATTAATCATATACATTTATTATGTATCTGAATTTATATTTTATTAACTAGTTTTTCACCCCCAAAGTGTTTACATTCCTATACATGTACCTTCCCAGTAAAATCCTAATGCTCTAGCCTCGACAAATTTGATAAAAATAAATGAATTGGACCTACTTTTGTATCAAATACTTTAATCCAATCATGTGTAATATTAAATCCCGGGCTGTTTAGTTGGGCTATCTGTCTCAACACAGAAGTTCCTCAGCAGGTCCACAACTCTTTATTCGGCGTCAAATATACAATTACGTGATAGTGCAGCAACGGAGAGATAGCATCTCAGCCGTTGTATGAGGGTCCAGTCCCGTTGAAAACCAGATTCTACATATATTCTCACTTTCAGGCATCCTTGTATCGTATGTACAGTGCATGTATGGTCAGTCCGCAGTATCCAGCACCTCTTCCACAATATTATTCCATGGCCAAAATGCCATATACCGCTGACCTATACATGGCTTTGCTGATGGCCAAACTGCACTGTAACTTTTAGATGTACTACTTTTACTTAACTCAGTGAGTGAGTTTAGTTTTACGCCAACCCAGCACTATTCCAGGTATAGCGATGGCGGTCTGTAATGGTCGCGTCTGACCAGACAATCCAGTGGTCAATTAGTAGTGAGCAAGATCGATCTGCGCAATTAGGAACCGATGACATGTGTCAACCAAGCCAGCGAGTCTGACCACCCGATCAAGTTAGTCGCCTCTTACGACAAGATTGGGATACTGAAGATCAATTCTAACCCGGACCTTCACGGGTGATTTAACTCACCTGACAGGAATATACGAACGTATTTCCATACTTCCCCTTTAAAAGCTATATCCCGCCAAATTGCCAACGATAATTGTCAAAAGCCTGTACTGCTGCGAGATCCTAAAAGTTGGGGACTTTTCTAGCATTTCGCCTTGGACTAGAAAGGTAAGTATTCCTGACCTATTAGCTCCTGCCTATCGAGCTCTACCCCAAACAACTGGAACCTATTGCGATTATTTTATTTTTCGAAATCGGCAAAGAATTCTTTCAACGGCAGTTCAATCTGTCTACAGTAGATTCTACTGCAAAACTATGAAACAGTGGATTGATTTGAAATTTTGAAGCTAACCCCGGCCCTCCGAAAAGCGTAGCTACCTTTTCTTTTGGGAGATCTCTCATGTTTTGATATTGGTATTTTAAGAAAAATAATCATATGTGACCTGGCTGCCTGTCAGCCTGAATCAATAGGACACCAGAGGAATCTAGATTTGTTCCGTTACCTTGAATTTCTTCACAAAGGAATTTGAAAGGTTTCGAACAATCATTCGTTTTGAATGTGAACGCTTTCATCATTACGCAGAGCTGGCTGTCAAGAGAGTTGGGTTCGTTAACAGCCCAAGGAGCCCTCGTGTGGTCACCATATGGCGTGCAGTCGGTCCAGCGATAGGTCATGCTTCCAGATTCAGTGCTAGCAAGTCCAATCCACACAATTCCAATATTACTGAATCTGAAATGGTACAAATATGAAGTATACTCTCCCAAAAAGAAACGCATATGTGTATGTTCGCTAATTTAATATGCTAACTATAAAGTCAGTTACACATGTAATTCTCGGTCATTTGCAACCAAATGTCACTGTATAAAAAGATCAAACAGTTCAATAAGTAAAGGTGTACGTTCACAGTTGACCGTTGTCTTCAGTATCTGTTGTGGTCACACATAGCCCCTAAAACTGCTCAGCGTCAAAGTGTTTTGTTGTTGCTGCTGTTGCAGTTGTGACTTTATAGTGGGTGTGTCGTTTCTTACCGGTGTTGCGGTGAAGATCCGGGTTACAATTGGTCTTCATTAACCCATGCTTGTCGTAATAGCCGACTAACGGGATCGGGTGGTCAGGCTCACTGGCTTGGTTGAGACATGTCATCGGTTTCATCTGTCTGGCGTTGTGCCGTTAAATTGCCCTGGACATGTACCATTTGTCCTGCTGGTATGAGACCCGTGAAGGTCCGGATTAGAATGAACTTCCAGTAACCCATGCTTGTCGTAAGACGCGACTAACGGGATCGGGTGGTCAGGCTTGCTGACTTGGTTGACACATGTCATCGGTTCCCAGTTGCGCAGATCGATGCTCATGCAGTGATCACTGGTTTGTCTGGTGCAGACTACTCGATCATTTACACACCGCCGCCTTATAGCTGTCATATTGCTGAGTGCGGCGTAAAACTAAACTCACTCACTCACTTACAGGTGTTTCAATGCAGATAGGTCATAGTCACTGTTGAACTGGGCGAGTCTCCAGCCTCTACGGGCGCAGTAGCTTGCCGCATGTTCCCAACTCATAGACGTCGTTCCGTAATGATACACTACAGCTCTTGATGGCCCAACACTTCCACTTGCTGAAACGAATTTAACACTGACGAGTAATGTGCTGTTTGAATAGTATAAGTAATGTTCCATTGTGGAAGTCCGAGTAATTCAGTCAATCGTGAAATACATGGTAACAAGAGGAGGTATGCGTAAACAGTGGAATAAATGTCGGTATGACGTGATACTGGCACTATGACTGGTCTGATGTACGTATGTCTAGTGGTCATAGTCAAACAAATGTATTAAGGTCGCACTGGCGTAAAAATGACCTAATGACTGGTTTGATGTACGCATGTCTAGTGGTCGTAGTTCAACAAATATATTTAGATCGTACTGACGTTATGACTGGTTTGGTGTACGTATGTCTAGTGGACGTAGTCAAACAACTGTAACCACATCGTACTGACGTAAAAATGACGTTATGACTGGCCTGATGTACGTATGTCAAGTGGTCGTAGTCAAACACATGTATTCAGACGGTAATGACGTAATAATGACGTTATGATTGGTGTGATGTACGTATGTCTAGTGGTCGTAGTCAAATACGTGTATTAAGGTCGTACTGACGCAAAAATGACGTTATGACTGGTTTGATGTACGCATGTCTAGTGGTTGTAGTGACACAAATATGTAGTGATGGTTGAGCACACAAACGTTCTTAACATTGACCAGTGCCTAAACTGAAATTCGCCCCGAATACCTTGAAAATTGCTTTTGTCGCGTAAAGCAATACTTCATTAATTTAATCGAAGCAATAATCGACCTATGACCTCTCCTGAACCCAGCCTTTGTTTTATTATACTGACCAATGCCCTCTCCAAACGCCTTCTGGTGTACTGTAACACTGACCTTTGATCTCCCGTCAACCCTCTTCTATGTGTTTTACTATGGTAAACTCCTGTGTATTGTAATACTGACCTGTGATCTCCCGTCAACCCTCTTCTATGTGTTTTACTAAGGTAAACTCCTGTGTACTGTAACACTGACCTGTGATCCCCCGTCAACCCTCTTCCATGTGTTTTACTAAGGTAAACTCCTTGTGTACTGTAATACTGACCTGTGATCCCCCGTCAACCCTCTTCTATGTGTTTTACTACGGTAAACTCCTAGTGTACTGTAATACATACGCGTTATCCCCTGAACCTCGTCAACCCTCTTCTATGTGTTTTACTACGGTAAACCCTGTGTACTGTAATACTGACCCTCTTTCTATGTGTTTTACTACGGTAAACTCCTGTGTACTGTAATACTGACCTGTGATCTCCCCGTCAACCCTCTTCTATGTGTTTTGTAATACTGACCTGTGATCTGACGCCTGTCAACCCTCTTCTATGTGTTTTACTACGGTAAACTCCTGTGTACTGTAATACTGACCTGTGATCTCCCGTCTTCTATGTGTTTTGTCCTGTCACCCTCTTCTATGTGTGTTTTACTATGGTAAACTCCTGTGTATTGTAATACTGACGTGTCCCCGTCAACCCTCTTCCATGTGTGTTTTACTACGTCAACCCTCTTCCATGTGTTTTACTACGGTAAACTCCTGTGTACTGTAATACTGACCTGTGATCTCCCGTCAACCCTCTTCTATGTGTTTTACTAAGGTAAATACTCCTGTGTACTGTAATACTGACCTGTGATCTCCCGTCAACCCTCTTCTATGTGTTTTACTAAGGTAAACTCCCGTGTACTGTAATACTGACCTGTGATCTCCCGTCAACCCTCTTCTATGTGTTTTACTACGGTAAACTCCCGTGTACTGTAATACTGACCTGTGATGTCCCGGTCAACCCTCTTCTATGTGTTTTACTATGGTAAACTCCTGTTTTACTATGTGTTTAAACTCCGTGTACTGTAATACTGACCTCCCCGTCAACCCTCTTCTATGTGTTTTACTATGGTAAACTCCTGTGTACTGTAATACTGACCTGTGATCTCCCGTCAACCCTCTTCTATGTGTTTTACTATGGTAAACTCCTGTGTATTGTAATACTGACGTGTCATCCCCCGTCAACCCTCTTCCATGTGTTTTACTACGGTAAACTCCCGTGTACTGTAATACTGACCTGTGATCTCCCGTCAACCCTCTTCTATGTGTTTTACTAAGGTAAACTCCTGTGTACTGTAATACTGACCTTCCATGTGTGTTTTATACACTGTAATACTGACCTGTGATCCCCGTCAACCCTCTTCTATGTGTTTTACTAAGGTAAACTCCTGTGTACTGTAATACTGACCTGTGATCTCCCGTCAACCCTCTTCTATGTGTTTTACTAAGGTAAACTCCCGTGTACTGTAATACTGACCTGTGATCTCCCGTCAACCCTCTTCTATGTGTTTTACTACGGTAAACTCCCGTGTACTGTAATACTGACCTGTGATGTCCGGTCAACCCTCTTCTATGTGTTTTGTCCCGTCAACCCTCTTCTATGTGTTTTGCAATGGTAAACTCCTGTGTATTGTAATACTGACGTGTCATCCCCCGTCAACCCTCTTCCATGTGTTTTACTACGGTAAACTCCCGTGTACTGTAATACTGACCTGAGATGTCCCGTCAACCCTCTTCTATGTGTTTTGTCCCGTCAACCCTCTTCTATGTGTTTTACTATGGTAAACTCCTGTGTATTGTAATACTGACGTGTCATCCCCCGTCAACCCTCTTCCATGTGTTTTACTACGGTAAACTCCCGTGTACTGTAATACTGACCTGTGATGTCCCGTCAACCCTCTTCTATGTGTTTTGTCCCGTCAACCCTCTTCTATGTGTTTTACTAAGGTAAACACCTGTGTACTGTAATACTGACCTGTGATGTCCCGTGAACCCTCTTCTAAGTGTTTTACTACGGTAAACTCCTGTGTATTGTAATACTGACCTGTGATCTCCCGTCAACCCTCTTCTGTGTGTTTTACTATGGCAAACTCCCGTGTACTGTAATACTGACCTGTGATCTCCCGTCAACCCTCTTCTATGTGTTTTACTACGGTAAACTCCTGTGTATTGTAATACTGACCTGTGATCTCCCGTCAACCCTCTTCTATGTGTTTTACTAAGGTAAACTGCTGTGTACTGTAGTAATGACCCGTGATCTCCCGTCAACCCTCTTCTATGTGTTTTACTAAGGTAAATTACTATTATACCGAACACAAAGTGAGCACTATTTTAATTCATTAAAACCGTATTTCGTGATACCCATTCGTGATCGACGCTCGTTATGTTCGTCAGTTCGTTACAATCGTGTTCGTTATAAACACAGTTTATTGTATTGTTGATGTATAAATTACTGTATTGACTTGTGACCCTTAACTAACTCATGATCCATTTAGCAATGAGTGGGTGAGTTTGGTTGTACGCCGCTTTTTGCAACATCCAGCAATGTCACGGCGGGACACCACAAATGGGCTGTACACATTGTGCTCATGTGGGGAATAGAACCCGGGTCTTCGGTGTGACGAGCGATGGCATTAACCACTAGGCTACCCCACCAACCCTGATCCATTTAGTAACTGTACCTAACCATAGGCCCAAATGTATTTATTTAAAGGCTTACATCACACCACACTTGAATAATGCATTTCTCTCAATGGTACTAAAAAACAATCCTCAGGGAAGCTACCATATAATTTATTCCACAATAAAATTACGTATTTAGATTACAATATTAATTTAAAAGTTCGGATGAATTAATGCAACGTTAAATCGACTCTCGCGCCCTCTACCGGTCGAAAATTATTTTCAAGCGAACCCTATACAGTTGTGTCCCTTGGAGCGCTCTTCGCGAATATCCTTCGCACAACTTGTGATTGAAACTAGTTCGGCAAACACCGACAACACCGCGTACGACAGTTTTTGATATTCGGAGCAATTGTTTACATTCCATATATGGCATGTGTTCTCTGTTTGGAAGCAGTTCGCCTCGATGTTTAAATTATCGATTTCAGGCAAGTCGTAAGGGATAATAAGTCAATAGGAAGCTAAAGTGAGTGTATGTGCGCAAAAGATATAATATAGGCCAAAATATTGTTGAATATGTGTGACATTGTGCCTTTTAGTATTTACTGTAAGCCACAGATGACACCTTGTACGAGTATACATATTCAACGACTGACCCGTGTGCACCGATAGGTATATATTTCACATTTAACATTCTAGTCTAACTTAGCGCTAATTATCTCTCAACAGTTCCGACTATAATGTCTGTATGATTGATTTTTACATTCAGCAGATGTATATTGATCAGGATATCTGTTTAACGTAATTACCTTGCACCGAATATATAAATAACTAATAGTGAAACGTACCAGTGGATAGCCTCAGGCCAATCATTAGAGTGATAGCTAAATTAGCTGTTAGCATGGTCGACTTTGTCCTGGAAAGAAAAACAGATGTGACTCATTGATGATATTGATATTGATAATATATACTAGTGCTCAAAAGAAAGTATTCCAGTAGCGTACCTGCAATTAGGCACTTTAGGCACGTGCCTACACTTAAATTCACAGAAGACTCCTGCGTCCAGTTGTGCCTACATCTTATTTCTTTCCTGGGTACGCCCCTGTATACAGTGTGTTTGACCAAACTTGAAAAGAAAAGAAAAGCATATATGAATGAACATCTGTTTAATTTCAATTCTACAGCAAATGTACATACATGTATTTTCTTTTCATACAAAGTCGAAGTACGTTTGACTGAAGCTGAAAGACACGTGGTATCATTGTGTAACATCAACTAGGCGGGTTTTTTCAGCAAAATGTCGTCAAATGTTGAATCAGTAGAGAGTGTGACCACCGTTGGCTTCAATACACGCCAAAACACGTCGACGCATTGATGACGTAACACGACGAATGACGTTAGGCGTGATCCGTTGCCATTCCAGTAGGAGATTGTTCCAGTTGTTAAGCGGTGACAGGTGGCGCTTTTATTCTTCTGATTTGTCGATCCAGGTAGTCCCATAAGTGTTATATCGGATTCATGTTGGGAAAACATGCTGGCCACGGCAAAACAAAGACGTTAGTGTTACGCAGAAAGCCGTTTGTCAGTCTTGCTGACCCAGCGACCCAGGCTAGTGATCCGGCGAGCTTGAGGTGCCGGGATCGATTCCACATGTGATCGAGTGTCTAAACCTTGGAGTCAACTTTGTGTGCAGACTCTTTCAGTGTTGCCACAACCCCTAGTGTACAGTACACAACCCTTAAAAGAACCCACGAATCCGTTGGTAAATGACCAGATGGTGGCCACATGAATACGTGCAAACACCTAGCTGCGGGTACAGCAACGTGCAGTAAACTTGGACAAAGTACTGTGACTGTGTGTCCCAGTCCATCCAGCTGTGAATGGGTACCTCGTAAGCATGAGGAAGCCACATTAACTCGGTGTGCCTAGTGGCTGCATGAGTTGTATGATCCCAAGGGAGTTGAGATTGAAAATACGATGTGCCGTTGAGATCAGTATCCAATGATCGGGGGAAAACAAAACAGTTTTTAGCATGCATGTAGATGGGATGGACTATAGCGCTATATAAATACCCATATAATAATAATCTGGCTGATGACAGTTGCTCTGGCGCACCCTGCACCCCACCCCCACCCCAAACCCCTCTCTGTGTTCTATTTACTACTGTCCGCCTATGGTATGCACGTGCATTCCGTGTTACATCAGAGATTATTTTGCGACGCTTAGGCGATTCGTTAACTTGTTTCGCCTTTTGTTCCCCGAAATGAAGGGCCTTACGTGTGTGACATAGCTCAGTATGATTTTATCACTTCATTTCTATTTTTGTGAATTTTTATGCAATATTTGGCGGTGTATAGTCTCTTTTGAGCACTAGTATATGTATTAGGGAACCAAGGAGAAGTATTTCCTACACGAACGAGAACTATGGGGATATAACTGCCAAACGTGTCATAAAGCATGGATTATTTATGGATAACAACTTCTTGTTTAGTGCAAAGAAAAAGAAATTGTTATCCATTATGCTGTATGCTTTATTACAGATCTTCCTGTGTGACCGAAAACTAAACGAATAAAGAAAGAATTCGAAATGACCAAGTCTTTACATCGACACAACCGTACGTTCGACACATTGGTGTTTGACTGCATTTTTAAACATTTTACTCTCTTCTAAAAAGCAGAATTTCAGCAATTCACTTAAAAATTATAACTACAAATGAATCATCAAACACGGGTTAATACCAATATGTATGTCTGCCAGAGAAACCTATTTCTTCTCTTATATTTTCAACGGACTTATTAGAGCCCCGGCGCTTATTGCGCTTACTGGGTGTAATTAATTGTTAGTGAAGTTATGACTAAACGGACCATTCCTTAATAAATCTATTTTTGATCAATGGAGAATACATTTATGCAAAAAGCGTACCCGGCGCTTATTAGAGACCCGGTGCTTATTAGAGGCTCGGCGCTTATTCTTATTTAGAGAACCCTTATTAGAGGAAATACGGCATATATACAGGGCAAAATAGGGGTGAAAATGGGAGGAACACTATCGCACAAAAACATAGCAAATTAGGTATGCCAGGATCAACGATATCTCCCGTATTTAGGAGGAATCATGTCTTGGACAAGAAAAATATTTTTGTGTACATTCATTGGTGTGTGAGTGAGTAAGTAGGGTTTTACGCCGTTTTAGTAATATGCCAACATTTTTCACGGCCAGGGACACAAGAAAGGGGTTTCAGATATTGTGCACAATCGAAACTTCGGCGTGAAGAGTACATTTTAAGAATGGGAATGCTATTATATTTTTAATACGCATTTATGACACTATAAAATGGAATGTGCGGCTTAGAATGATACATATATTACAAAACTATTTTAAAACCACTTTTTGAGGGACATTAAGTAATTAGTGAGTGAGTATGGTGTACCCAGCTTTTAGCAACATTCCAGCAATATCACGGCGGGGGACACCAGAAATGGGCTTCATACTTTATACCCATGTACACCGTGACGAGCGAACGCTTAACCACTAGGCTACCAGAAGGTGAATGGGGTCTGGCAACAGGGCAGTCAACAGAGAGATAATAAAAACACTAGTGATTGGTATGATAATCTCGAACAATACAAGTTGTCACTATGTTCAATCACCTACCTTTACTGCCAGCACCTTCCAGAACAGTCCTCCCTCCTACTGAAGACGTGCCGGTAAACAAGGAAGCGGTGCGCGCCCCACCCCTCTATCCTCATCACAGGATGTATTGATTAAGAACTTCATAATCTATACACAACGTATCTATGACAACCATTCTTATTACTTCAGTTGTTACACTTCGGTGTTTTCGCTCCCTTAATTGGATCCTCAACGTATTTAAATTGAATCTGATGAGCAGTGTTCCAGAACGTTGGTAAATGTGGGCCAGTGTTCTGTGTGTCAGAAGTTTTTACACATGAAACTTTCCCTTAACTTCCCTTCCGGTACATTCATTAAACGTGTGTTGACTCGCTTTTACGTGTGTTTGTGACCGTGGTGTATCACTATTGAATAGTGATTCAGGAACACCTGCTATCATCACTATTGAATAGGTAACCTTGTGGTTAAAGTGTTCGCTCGTCACGCCGAAGACAAGGGTTCGATTCGCCACATGGGTACAATGTGTGAAGCCTATTTCTGGTGTCCCCCGCCGCGATATTGCTGGAATAGTGCTAAAAGCGGCGTAAACCCATACTCACTCACTCTGTAAAGACTTTCCTTGTAATTATACTCTGTAGTTGCCATGGTATTATATATTCATAGTCAGGTACAAAAGAAAATAACTATGAGATTATAAACGAAAAATAGCTGTGAGAAAGTGCACTGCATACGGAGGTCATTTTCTTTGTTCCCGCTTGCGATACACCGTTAATTAGTCAGTCATCCGTGAAAGACAATCGAAGTTTTTTATTTCACTTTTCAACCAGCCTAGCATGGCTGATTCCAATGAGACAAGCTTGATTTAGTGCATTATGTGGCAAACCCCATGAATTGGTAATTTACCGTAGCCACAGGGACCCCGCGAAAGGATCGACCAGACTGATAGAGATGTGGTGAGGTGAAATATAGCGACGTTCACGTGGGAGTTATTGGATGTGCCTGTGTGTCGTGTCCGTGTCTGTATGCGTGTGCGTATGCGTGAAATTGCAATATGTTTTATCCTTACAACAATTTTCCAATTTTAATGCAATTTTAAGTCATTTTAAATATACTTGTGGCTATGTAAAATACTTTACATATAATTCACCATTCAGCTAAATCATAATCCTTATAGAAAATATTTCACCATTTAGTAAAGAGATGAGACTTAAGTTGCATGTTCAAGATGGAAAGCATGAATGATTATTAGGAGATAGACATACTGTGTTTGAAAATCAGAAATTATAACAGCTCTAAATTTGATATAAAACGAAACGCGAAACTGAAGTTGGATGGTCTTACCCTAAATATTGGCATAGTGCACAGTTATTGGTGAGGTGAGGTGAGGTGAAATTGGATTTAACTTCGTGCTTGAGAATATTTTGCTCATATGACGACGTACATGCGTGTGTATGTGTATGTGCGGCTGCTTGCACTAGCCCAGACTTAAGTGGTTTTATAGTGCTAGCCCACTGAGATACCATGCCGCAGTGAAGCATGAATACCCCTCAGACACATTATACTGACTCCGAGCCGACCAGTCCTTGTTGTACCCATTAATGCCGAGCGCCAGGCAGGGACCAACAAGTACCATATTTTAACGTCTTTTGGTATGACGCGGTCGGGGTTGGAAACCACGACCTTCCGCTCTCCGGGCGGACGCTCTAATCACTACACCAGGGAGGCGGTGCTTGTTATTGGTACTTATTTATGATGGTATTGACCCAGAATTTTGAAAATGATTGCGCATGGTAATGTCATAAAACCATAGTTGTCAGCACTACAAAATGAGTTAACTTTTTGCCATATTTGCTTCTCAGAAGAAACTAGTTTTTCTTCTTTTTGCGTTTACATTTACCACTAATTATTCCTTGACGGTCAATGTAAGTTGAGGTTGGGCTTATATGCTCAGATTATACCTTTATATACAAGACCCACTGTATGATATGTTCAGAGCATTCCTTTACATACAAGACCCACGGTCTCATATGCTCAGAGTGAAACTCTAAATACAAGACCCACGGTCTCATATGCTCAGAGTGAAACTTTAAATACAAGACCCACTGTCTCATATGCTCAGAGCGTAACTTTAAATACAAGACCCACTGTCTCATATGCTCAGAGCGTAACTTTACATACAAGATTCACCCAAGCTGCCAGTCAGGTGCCAGAAGGTAATAGTCACATGACTTATCCCACCAGGTACCCATTTTCTCCTGGGTGAATAGAGGCAATTTTGAACAAACTCAACCAGGAAATCAAACTGTCTCTCTTGGTAGACACTCACTAGTTGACCACAAAGGTATGAGCCAATACAGCACTGTTTCAGCGTATTTACAAGCTATTTGGACAAACACATTAATAAAAAATAAGCGAGATTTGGTTAGCCAAATAATCAAGAAATAAATACTTCATATTTTATTGACATAAATACAGAAATCAAAATCAGCACAGTTATTCAAAAAGCAGACAATTTTAGTGCAGGGTGGATTACAAATTGTTAAAGTTAATTGGTTTCTCTATGGAAACAACTTTGTTCCTGAGGCCACATGTATACTACAGGCAGCTTGAACATCTCTTCCAAATCAGTATGCATTAAAATGCAGCATATTAAATGTGGTAACGTCTCAAGAGAAATTTCATAAATTTTATCCAAATGATCAAAAGTTCCTTCCTTGACAGCGACTAATATAGGTTACAGGTAATGGTTCTCTTCCCATTCACCTCATGGAATCAAAGCAGTTTGTTAGTTGGAGTAATCAAGGCTTTGGGGCATTCGAATACTTTGACATGAATGACTGACTGACTGACTGATTTTGGTTTTACGCCGCTTTAAGCAATATTCCAGCAACATCACGGCGGGGGACACCAGAAATGGGCTTCACACATTGTACCCATGTGGGGATTCGAACCCGGGTCTTCGGCGTGACGAGCCAACGCTTTAACCATTAGGCTACCCCACTGCCCCTTGACATGAATGAATGGTGTCAGTGAAGCGATGCAGGTCTCAGACATTTCTGACATTGGTGCTGACAAACCTCGAAGAGATTCGAACCCAGTATCATGTTTCTGGCACACCAAAGGATCCAACTCTGTAAAGCCAATCACTGATGATCCACGAATGCTCCAATATTTGCATTAAAGGTGCAATTGTTGGTATAGCTGACACAGCCTCAACACAGAAATGTCACAATCCAATGCAGATTTTGTTCTTTTAGATTTCAGTGAAGTGACTGTGGCCTTAATTGTACAGAAAATTATCTGCAAAGAAATTGTGGTCCCTTCGTTTTACAACTATAACTCAAAACAAAATCTTAAATAACCCTCTTTCAAGTTACCTGAATATTACCAGTAGAACTATTTAATCAAAAGCTATTATACCTAATTGAAAAACAGATTTGGTATCTAGTTCCACTGACCTTACCTAAATAAAATCACTACCAGTAACTGGACTCAAGAACAGAAACATACACAATAGTGTTAACTGAATTAGTTTTTTAATGTGATATACAATATAAAAGCAAGGACTGGTGATATAGAGATATCATACACAGATAGACAGATCCCCAGAGGCTAAACACAACCCAGGAGAACTATACTACTCACAGTAAATACAGCAATGCTCAACTACAAACACTATATTCTTCATATCATTCACAGCCTTAGAAATTTGATTATCTTAAGACTAGTCCCGAGGACTGTCGATCATTTTTCACTAGTCCGAGTTCACAGCTAAACATAAATGGTTCTATATTTACATTTTCGGTCACTTTTATTCAGATCAAAGAAGAGAGAACTGGTTCTGAATTACAGCCTCAAATGCTACAAGTCAGGGAGTACTACCACCACTGCTTGTACTGAGCACTTGCTGTCTTGGACTAGCAAACTAGCATGAATTCCGAAGGCTGTATTCATCTATATTCTAGACAAGTATGTGTGTGTTACAAAATCTACTCAGCAGGATTTTCATTAGTGGTGGTCCGATTAATTGAAATAATTGAAGATTGGTCGTAGTGACAATGACCAAGCAATCGATCACAATTTCTCATAATCGAACACAAACAATTATTTTTCACATGGTTGGTTTTGTCTGTTACATTTCGTAAGCACTACAAGCTCGTTTCAAGTCACGATTGAATTTATCTTAAAGATTGCAAGAAATTTATGTTCCTACCATACTGGTCATCCTTTAAAGATATGAAATTTTGCCACCAAACCCCCAAAAGTACTACTTGTTTTTTTTCTTATTTTTATGTGCATTAACAAATTTCATAAATGACGCTAACCAATTTTTTTCGATGATTGATCGGTAGTAATGAACCAATCATCAATTATGAGATTTTAACCAATTCCCAACACTAATTTTCATGGTAACAATTTGTCATTGATCTGATGTCCCAAGCTTACTGTAGTTCTATGTTAAGGTAAAGGTTCTGCAACAGCCACACCATGATGGTCCTGTTCATCATGTTTCGGGATAGATGAAGGAAAGGATTACACTAAAATACATTGTTCCATTGCTTCCTTTGAAGTATCATGTACTAGTATACAATTTTTAAACCTTCCTCCTGGATTCAGTTTACACTTCGTAATTGCAAAATCAGTTACCTTTTGATTTCATCAAAATGAAAGTAGCTCTTTTATCACCTGAGAGAATATTTTCCTTTTAAAATTGGTCAGTCAGGACAGCACTGACCATATAACATCGCCATGAGCAACCACTTGGTGATTGGATATAGGGCGCTATATAAATGGACTTATTATTATTATTATTATTATTATTATTATTATAACGTACTGTATTACTTCCTAGCATATCAATTTATGGCACTGATAAAAATAACTTGTCCTTGACCTGCAAACACCTACATCCAGCATTCAGCAAGCATTTGATCAGGTGCCACTTTATGAAAATTGCCAAAATGTGATCTTGAAGAATAACCATGTTGATAAGCAAACATTAAAAAAACATAACACCTAATGGTTATAGGTTTTTTAAAAATAAGACTATATGTGGTTTGAAATAGCACTTATCAAAAGATCATGCCACCATTTTAAGGACTTTCAAATTCATGAAAGATGGAATCAACACTCTTTAACAGTGTTTCAGTAACATCAGAACAAGCCTGACTGGTGGGAAGACATCAAAGAATATATTTCTCAATGATGTAAATGTTGGCAGAATTAGGAAAGAATTGTAGATAAACATACTATATTCAATAAAAAATATGCTAAAATGACCAACATGCATAATCTACACTTGTCAGTCTAAGACTGGTGTTTATATCAAATCATTATCCATCAAGTACTGAGTGAGAAGAGAGGAGATGCTGCCACCTTCAACAGACAACAGTAGTGCAAAAAATATTTACAATGGGACTGTCAAGTTCGTCAAAGCACTTATGATTACAAAGATATATACACAAAATCCATTTCAAAATACTGACAAAATTGATATACAAAATAACAACACTTATATCTACTGGAATGCTAACCTTTGTACATAATCTTGAACTAATTACAGAACATACTTCCAGTTCTCAAATGAAAATAAATATAACATGAAAAACTAAACATTTTGAAAACAGTTTGAAAAGTGTATATGACAGTTTAAGACATCACTAAATTACAAATCATATACACATGAATGTTTCACACTGATGTTACGATTGTTAACATTCTGAACATTGTAAATGAAGGATGTGATATGATAAGTTAATATTCTCATAAAGGCTAATTGAAATCTGTGTCATCTTTGTCAAAATGTACAGGAGAAATATCATTATATTCATCTAAACAGGACCATCAGTTACAACTGTTTATTTTTCATGACAATACAAAATAGCTGGAGTGATATAATTAAAGGTGGTCCTTCACTTCTTTGAGGGGAAAATGATTTCTTGTTGGTGGTTTAAAGCAACAATCAGTGCTATTACAGTCGTATAACTGTGTCCTGTACATTATTTAGCCTCCATCAGACATAACTGACAGGCAAAATGATCCATCAACCAAGGCATCCAGCCTGACAATCATTAAATTACATGTACAAAAGTTGGATTACAGGGTGCTGTTCTGAGGGGTATATTCATGACAAAGAAGTGAGATTAAATTGCTTTACCAATCTACTGATTGAATCCAGTCTACTGATCCAGTCTCTGGATACAGACTCTTACATTGATTTAGAATTCTCAGAAATCCATTCATCTTTCAGTTAAGCAGTATCTGTTGTCATATCTAAGCATCCTCTGATAAGAGATCTTCATATTTGTACCCTGATTGTTAGTGATTATATATGCATAAAGTAAAGCTTCAACATTCACTTTCGATGACAATAGTATCAGACTCAACATCCTTAATTATCAAGCGTATAATATCTACATTCTGACATGTCATATCTTGGGGTGAGTCAATATGGTTTTATGCCGCTTTTAGCAATATTCCAGCAATATTACGGCGGGGGACACCAGAAATGAGCTTCACTGTCATATCTTGGAACCAGTGGCCATTAGGGGCCGTTCATAATTTATGGCTGGGGTGGGGGTAGTTGGGGGGGGTAGTTGGGGGTGGTGGAAAGAAAGGAAATGATTTTCACCCATTTTGTTCTGGGGAGGTCATCAATTCTGTACACATGCACTAAGAGGGGTCAGCAATTTTGTACATAAAAATGTTTAAAAATTATGCTTAAAAATTATGGGAAGGGGAGGGAGGGCCATTGCTTTTGAACATGACATGCAGGGGGGTCACTTACTTTGTCCATAATTTTTTTAATTTTAGGGGGGGGGGGGGACCCAATCACATTGTAGATGCTTCTCATGACAATCATCATCATCATCATCCCACCCCAAACCCTTGACCAGGTATTGGTTCAGGAAGTTACATTATTGCCAGGATGTCTCTACTCATAAGTGCCATTTCAGTGGACAGCTTTCTAAAACAGTGATTACAATTTGACTTAAAAAATATGGTGACAAGGGTATATTTCTTTACAGAATGGAGACATATATAACTGCAAGACAATCAAGGATGGTGTCACAAAGACAAGATCTTGCACCAGATACGACTTTGAATACACTGTTGTCAAACCTTTTCAAATCATGTACCAATAACCACAACATTAAGGGTTAACACTGTATATATATGTATATCATATACAATAAACATTAACATATGGCATAATACATTGTTATGTTATGTATATCATATACAATAAACATTAACATATGGCATAATACATTGGTATGTTACATTCAATATGTAGATATGAATATTGTGATAGGGATGGCGACTTTAACAACACAAGCACTGCAAGACAATAATATAAGCTTGAAATACAGCCATATTTGATAAACAACATACCTTGTACTGTGAACTGATGGATTGGACATCAGTATCCATATATTAGAAATGAATTAATGTGAATGTTCACTGACTACCATCCCATTTAATAATTTCAACAGTATATGTACCGGGGTAGATATTTTACTCATTTCATTGTGTCTATAGTTGACTCAGCATATGATACAATGACATAACTGGTTTAAAATACAGTTGGCACGGAGATTACCTCCCTTTCATTGTTATCCTAATACATCTTCCTGGAACAACAGTGTGGGGTCAGCATGACTAGAAGCTTGGCTAGATGTGGTAGTTCCGCTCAGTTTTCTCAAGTGCAGGTTTACTTCAATTTAACCTTAATGAAAACTCTGCAACTGACTATCAGTCTTAAACCAAACAGTATCTCAAAGTACAATCCCTTTTCAGAAATAAGCATAAAAGTGAAAAAGAAGAAGAAAAACTTTCTATCTCAAAGGAGGTTTCTTGTGATAATACAAAAATTCAGTGAAATGAGAGAGTGGGTGAGGAGTGAGTATGGTTTTATGTCGCTTTTAGCAATATTCCAACAATATCACGGCAGGGGATACCAGAAATGGGCTTCACACATTGTATCCATGTGGGAATCGAACCCGGGTCTTTGGCGTGACGAAAAAGAACGCTTTAACCACGAGGCTACCCCACCGCCCCTCAGTGAAATGAGTCACTTGAGACTGACTGACTGAGTGAGTTTAGTTTTACGCCGCTTTTTAGCAATATTCCAGCAACATCACGGCGGGGGACACCAGAAATGGGCTTCACACAATGTACCCATGTGGGGATTCAAACCCGGGTCTTCGCCGTGACGAGCCAACGCTTTAACCACTAGGCTACCCCATCGCCCCCACTTGAGACTAAAAATAATGCACTAACATATGTGATCTAAAGCATCATACATACAAGACTGATTCACCTCAGAGATTTCATTGGTAATCATGACATCAACAGATTTGTAATATTGTTGTTGTATGGATACCACTTTATAACAGATTTTAAATATTCATGGACACAGAAGCATTATATATTAGGGATGTCACGATACATAAGTTTCATGAATCGATACGTATCACAATACCCATGTCACGATTCGATATGTATCCCGATACCTATTTTCGCGGCATTAATGCATAAATTTAGTTATATTTTGAACATTAATAATTTATATTTTCTAACTGTCCATGAAAAGATCAATATTTTGTATTCTGAGAGATTAAAAATTTCTAATTTCCCATCATTGTTAAAATTTTCATTTATAACTCTCATAACATAAAAAAACATGATACAATTGCAAAATGTAAACGATACATAAACATATTTAAACCGATACTTTCAAAAGTAAATATTGATACAGTTTTGAATGTATCGATCATTGTATCGTCTTAGAAAATATATCAATGTATTGTGGCATCCCTATTATATATATATATGATTTCCCTGAACAAAATAAACAATGAAAAAACATAATTCAATATGAAACAATTAAAGATCAGCCTAGTTCATATTGAGCATTAACTTTATTAATTGTAGTGAGTGAGTGAGTGAGTATGGTTTTACGCTGCTTTTAGCAATATTCCAGCAATATCACAGCGGGGGACACCAGAAATGGGCTTCACACGTTGTACCCATGTGGGGAATCGAACCCGGGTCTTCGGACTGACGAGCGAACGCTTTAACCACTGAGCTACCCCACCGCCCCTATTCATTGTAGGTCTATATACTAAGTTACTCATTTTTAATGGAACACAAACCTATTATCATATCAATTGATGCATTGTTATACTTTTAAGTTGATGTATCAATGGTGACTTTTCCAATCAATGGCACTTCCAGATGACCCATGATTCATGTGTATGTGAAATGTATGGACAGTGAGCAATACAACTGCATCTAAGTAGCAGGTGATGGAGATGGTTGATGATGCAGAGTAACTAGTGAATACAGTCGCAATTATATCTATTGCTCTACGTAAACAAAACTGAATCCAAAGTGACCATGGCAAAAATTTTGCACAAGAAGAAACACGAGACTTGATTCTCAGGCACCTGTGCATAAAAAAACAAAAAAACATCCAGTGTTGTTCAGCTTTGTTATATCTGTGTTTGGTCAGAAACATACCTGTCTATCCAAGCTTACTGCAGTTGATTGTTTGTCTGTTGTCTAAAACCGTACTCAGCAATATATCAGTTCAATGATATCAGTCCATAAGTTATTAAGCCTGGGCCACACATTGGAGTGATTGACATAATGACCATTGTTCTGTGTAGTTGGGATGAACATGTATGAACAAGTCATTTTGGTCGCTCATTCGCCAAACATGGGTCAACAAAGACAAATGACTTTCATACAAGATACTGCAAATCTCCATCATACATGTAAGGGGGAACTAGGCTACAGCACTAACAATCTAAGCTTATTTGAATCAAGTCAACAGGTGCTATTACACAGCCAAGATGCCTTCCCTTGTTTGAGAATGCATTAAAAGAAATATGCATTAACAGTTTAGTTGAAACAGGTTTTCTTAAAAGAAATTGATTTATGGTCCACAGTTAACAGTTTATGACACTACATTTTACAAATGTGGAATAAAATCAAAATGATGAGCAGTCCTTTTTATTTTCCTGCCAAGACCATCCAATGAAACAAATACAGTATCACTGGTATGGCATAAAAGCTGATAAAAGAGAGTATCCTTTAATAACAGTTACCACGGTTTCCTCCCTATTTGTTCCAACCCTACCAAGTATTCTATTTTGTGACCACTAAAAGTAAACATATTTAAAATTAAAAACCCCAACATTTTTCATCACTGACCAAATCATGCCTATGTTTTATATATAGAAAATATATAAACCAAGTCAAAGAACCACACCTTAAGTCCTTACTTGTGATTGTGAAGAAGGCTTTCTTGACTAAACTGATATATCAGGATGGCTGGAAATAAGGTGATGGATTTCTTTTATCATTACCCGAGATTTTTTGCGTAAAATATTTCATCATATTTTTCAACATGTTCTCTGTAGCTCCAATCCTGCATGTATTCAAGAACTGGTTAATTTCATACACTGCTAGACATTCACTATTTCAAATACATACAAATAGTCTTTTTCATATATCTTTTATATTCAATTCAATTCACAAGATATTTCTTCATAATTTGATCCTTGATTAAAATCTATTGCTTAGACTGATCTCCTTGATAGCAGGTCTTTAAGCAGTAATATTTCAACTTAATTACATGTTAAAACGAAATGAGTGAAATGGCAAGTTACCTCCACTCAGTCATAGAAAAGTGTGTCAGTTTATTGAGTTAGACAGCTTTTAAGCAGGTCTTAAATGTTTATCACTATGATGAAACCATAAACACAGGCATGAGGTAACAAATGGTAAGTCATGGTGAAGTTAGGATTCCAACCTAGAGCCAACACATTCGGGCACCTAAGGGACATAACTCTGCCCAAGTTGTGGCACTGTGGGTTACAGTGATCCCCCTTATGACATGCAGGTGGATTTCCAGTGAGTCTGTAGTTGATGTCTGATCCAGGCAGAGAACAGACAGCAGTGTTACAGCAGGACCTGAAGACTGATGAAGGTGATGACGCAGAGGATGAAGTCAAAGATGAACGATATGCCTGCAGCTGTCAGATCATCGGTGGTTGTTTTCACTCAGGACACAGATCTCCAGCTGTGGTTGAGTTAAGGACATTTGTAGCAGATTACACATCAGACACGGGCTATGAAACTGAGAGGAATTCTTTAAAGAAAAACATGACATAAAAAGAGACATGAATCTATATTTGTTCTCTTTAACTTACAGAGAAAGTCTGTTAATGATTAGAAAGTTGATGAGAGAGGCTGGAACCATAGTGAGTGAGTGAGTGAGTGAGAGAGAGTGTGAGTGAGTGAGTGAGTGAGAGAGAGAGAGAGAGAGAGAGAGAGCGAGAGAGAGTGAGAGAGAGAGAGAGTGAGAGAGTGAGTGAGTGAGTGAGAGAGAGAGAGAGAGAGAGAGTGAGAGAGTGAGTGAGTGAGGTGAGTGAGTGAGTGAGTGAGTGAGTGAGTGAGTGAGTGAGTGAGTGGGGATTAACACTATTTTGAACAACATCCCCATTATATCACAGCGAGTCAGCTTGATACAGGTGGAAATCCTCATGTGTCTCATTTCTTTTCCACTTTGGGAAACTCCTGATCATGTGCATGGAAATGACAAGCCCAGAAACATAACTGGGTGAAACGGAATTTGAACACAGATTTCAGGGAGCTCCAGCCAAACTGTGATGTATTAGTGTATTAGACAACTGAGCAACCCGTGTCCCCAGACACTGGGGCATCAGCATGCTACAGCACTACATCAACTTGCTACAGCCATTCACTACAAGGATACAACTCTCAGTCCCCTCTCCACAGGGTCCACCAGCATCAGCCCTCTTGGGACGTACACAGACTCGTTCTGAGTCTCAATATAACGTTTGATTTTCTTCAGACACTGAAACAGAAGAAAAACTGTCATTATCTTTAAGTTAATAGGAATGAGCTGTTGAAATTGGTTATGAATGAACACACGTTACACAGTAAATATAACATGCTTTGTTTGGGATTACACTTTCTTAGTCAAAACCACATACAGTCAAATCCTGATGAGTCAAATGCCGGTGTCTCGAACATTATGCATAACTCGAAGTACCTGTCGGTCCCGACCATTCCCTGTTATAGTTGTCATCATTTGAATACCGGTTACACGAATTCGACTCATAAATACACACGATGACTCGAGAAGAAAATTTGGTCCCATGAGATTCAAACAACAGCAATCTTGTATACATAAGCTGAAGTCAGTCAATGAGAAGTTGATTGGTGTAGCAAACTGATCCAATTAACAAACCAGTGCGGCTCACACCTTCCCACCTTTGACGGGTGAGTTCGAAAGGCAGATAAGTGATTTTACGGAAATCACTGTCTGTGCTAATCAGACTGGAACTGATCAGGTGCCCCTATTAGTGATAGGGAAATCATTAGATAAACAAATGCTTAGGCGGAGGAATTAGGACTGGATCATCTTTTTTTCTACCCTCATAGACATACCTATGCCTCGAATACATCGATAAGTCGAATTTATTACTTGGTCCCCAGAGATTCGACTCATCTGGATTTGACTGTACTAGTACTTTTGGAAATTTGAACCAACACTTTCAGAGTCAGGCATGCAATTGCCAGCACACAAGATCAGCTATCTAACCCACTCAGCCATGTCTTCCACAAAAGTGGAAGCCTGACAACAACTCATACTCCAGATCACATAATCTGGTTATGAAAAATGCTGTGTATTGTAATCATAAAACCAACTGTAATCCCCAGGAGCAGTAACCATCATTATACATGGAGGTATTTGTGAAAAACAATACTAATTAATAAATTCTGTTTTATTCCTAAAAGTTGACAGCTTATTCAACATATATCATAAACATCTGTATTGAGATTGAGAACTCAGCATCCTCAATATCAGAGTTTTCTGTAGCCCTTAATTTCTGAATTACCATAAACAGTACGGAAATTTGAGAATCATTCCATCTGTGGGAATGGCGTACAAGGTAATTTCTTAAGGGAGCTTCTATGAATAAGCTGCTGAAAAATACAACCGTTTGCCAAGTCATAACAACATTCTTTTCTTGGAGTTACTTCCCTTTACCTTCACACAAAGAAGAGCTTCTATTTGTACAATCATTATAACATGATTTGTATTGATAAAATACATGTCAACATGATCAACATTCACCAGTTCTTCTATCATGTCTCTAGCCTACAACTTTAGACGCTTGACAAAATCCTGAGTCTGTAACATTAAAACGGCAGTACAACAAGCTAGGCAAATAGTTGACCATATGACATAACCAAATGTGTAAAAAATGCTGTGAGCCAAATAGGGCTGGTAGACTTAAACTTATCAGGCACAGACTGCTTCTACATTGTGGATGTGAACTCTGCTGTGATTGGTGTTCCAAACTGCTACCAGGACATCATGACACATAATTGCCCTTGGTAAGAGTAACGATTAGGACATGATTCAATCTAAATGTTTTGTTAGCTCAATATATTTTGTTTATTTGGCACCGATACATCAATAGCTGGGTTCAAACTTTATATTCCTGTCATGATATTGATCACATTCAACACAATTCAACATCAAGATAAATAACTGCCAACTATGAAATGAGAGGTTGGGAAAAACAGATGGTAAATACCTTCTCGTAATATGTATCGATACAGAGATATGCAAGATACGCTGTCAGACAGGCAAAGCAGCTTTCACAATAGGTTCTCCCTCCCAGGCTTTCAGCCTCAGCGTACATTGTGTTCAAACTGTTGATGGTCTGCTCAAAGCTGCCACGGTCAACCTGGACAATGAATTTCATAAGACGTAACTTATGGGTCAGTTTCAAAACAGACAATGGTCAGAACAGATAATGTCAGACAAAAGAAGGAAGCAGCAAAACATATATGATATACCTCACTGCAACATCAAATGGTAACATATTTGTTACCATATATTCTGGAATGATTTCTTTCGGTCATTTAACAAGTAAAAGTGTGTTTGCCTGCACGTTGTTTGTATTTCCAGTTTATTGCCGCTCCCAGCTATGTTCTGGCTATATGATGGAAGCCTGTAAATAATCAGGTCTAGACCACATCATCCAGTGAGTGATATCATGAGCATTGATCCATGCAATTGGGTTGAGATGACATGCTTCAACAAGGTCTGTGAGTCTAGTCATGACTTTATACATGTTCACATATTCAATCACTAACTAGTAGTTTGTTTGTTGTTTAATGCTGCACTCAGCAATATTCCAGCTATGTGATGGTGGTCTGTAAATAATTGAATCTGGACTAGACTATCCAGTGATCAACATCATGAGCATCAATCAATGTGTCATCCAATCCCATTAGTCACCTCTAACTACAAGCATAGGTTGCAGAAGACCCAGGTCTTCACAGGTACTAATTTGTGGTACATATTTATCTGCTAAATTGCAGGAATGAATCTTGACAGTTCACCTTTCCCTCCAGTTCCAGAGGAAACTTGTTCTGGAACTTGACCCCAGTGCCATCCAGGTAGTCCCGCTGAACAAACACCTTTGTACAAGATGCTGATGGAATACGTGACAAGTTATCCATCTTGTGACCCTGAAATATGTATCATACAAATCTAAGATTCACTGTAACTGTTGTACCATTACTGATACATGTATATAGAAAAACATCAAACTCAGGGTACATATAATGCTTTAAAATAGAATTGTTTGCTCTGTGTCCAGATCCAAACTGCATCAATTACGTTTCTCATTTCTCAGGAAGCATTATGCATCCACTTGAAACAATATGGAGTAAAATAATTAATAATAAAAACATAATAAGCACAAATAAATGTTTTGTAAGACTTCCATCCATTATTTTACACATGAATGACAGGAAGCACTTTAAAAACTACAAACTGAAAACAGAGCTTATGACGGACACACTATAATCATGATAATCAACATGATGAACTAACCCATAGAATGAACAGTTGTTTCGATCTTGCTGTATGGTTTAGTTCAAATGCTTATAACAAACTAGGGTTATCATAAACTAAAATTAGTGATCCCTCGTGTTAACCATAGTTTACTGGGTTTTTTAACAAACTCTCCATCATGATTTTGTACCCCCATTGTATATACTACTCCATCACAGAAATCCGTGATCACTAAATGTTAACAGATGTTATCATTAACAAGATAAATGTTTTGTAGAACTATATTTGGTTGAGCATTTCCTATATATTACAATATAACGAAAGTCTCTGCATGATTTGGGTGTGATGAAAATTTCAGGGGTACCCCTTGAACCCCCCATTGACTCTGCCAACGCAAAAAAAATATCTTCAGTGTGGTCTTAAGTCATTTTCAGATAATGTCAAACCCCCTGAACCCCTCCCTGGATCCACCAATGACGTGTCTGCTTGGTGTGGGAGGAAACCCAAATATTTATACCACTTGGGTTAAACCCATAAATGAGTACAGTGCTGAGAAACCAGGAAATGTCTGAACCAGGATTCCAACCAGTTTCCATAGGTTTCTGGCAACTGAACAGCAAAGCATGACAAAGAATATCATTAATTATATCGTGATCATTGCCTATTCAGTGACCTTATTAAACTAACAATCCAACAGATTCTCACATAAAATGGTTCCTAGCCTCAGAAACAAGTGGCCTTTGACAGAGATCATCTTTATGGTGAGTTCTAATGAAGAAAAATGTTCCATTTTCTACATAGAATCAGCCAGTAGCACACTTAGCGGGTGCATCTTAACAGACTTCAATTTGTTTTGCCCACAACACTATTTCAAACTGAACTGCCAACAAGTTGGATGTGTCCACCTATCACTGGTGGCTGATATTGACACAGACCACGCACACGGTATAGAACTGTAAAACAAGTTGAAAATAATCGTGTTGATGGATCATTATATCCAATGTGCACACTGCGTGGTGAAGACATGCCCACGCTTTTACCTCACATAATTTTATTATACCTATAAAATCGTCCTGTTGTAATGATCATTCATTCAGACCATTACCGGCATTTTAAGATCCTCTTCATGGAAGATGATACATCTGATAATATTTAGCATTAAGACCATTAATATCAAAATGCTGAATAAAAGATTTGACAAGTTCACATGTTTCGATGAATCATGACATTTTCACCCAAGATGACTGAATGAATTTACATTAGGCTTTTCAATTTTGGCAAATGGTCGATTTGAGTCGCGTTTATTTCGAGATGTGGCCAAAAATCTTATCAAGCTTGTGGTATCTTTTCACTTACATATACGAAAACAATCAGATTCAACTATGTGTGTGAATATGTCAAACAACAATTGTCTAGACAAAAATATTAATCCAAACCTGTCTCGGTTTACTCACTTCGTCGGCGGCCATGTTACTTTTCTCATTGACGAAGTGTTATCGCGGTATTGATTGGTCACATTTGCTGAAAAATATCGTTATCTACAAAGCTATTGGATACGAGTAGTTAAGGCCGTTTGTTACATCTCTCTGGATTGGCTGTGAATAATTTAGTTGACCTTGACCGGAGTTTTCAAGATGGCGTCAGCATGCAAGGTTCTGACAAGGTTGTCCGGTACTGTATCTGTGAAAAATGCAAATATTTACTGAATCCGTATATGGTTCAATAAGAAAAGATTCCGTTAGTCAGTCAAAGAGTGGAGATAATCAACCACAGGCTCAAATTAATCTATGCAGTTGTTTATCCTATGACAGTCAACATAATCTGAACATTGGCGTCAATATTCATTTCGTGTGGCTGGCCGGGCGAAACCCCACATTGTCGCTGTAATTATCTTCCCTTTTCTATCTTAGCCCGTCATGTAGTCTCATGGGCGTGTATGCATGCATAACTTCTTTCAACGCGTTTCATCTTTGCTTTTTATTTACCATCCTATGTATGACTTTCGACCTCCATTCTTGAATATCTTCCACACAAAAAGATGGTAGGGGCTCGACCTCAATTTTATCATTGTTTTTTGGTGTAGGTATAAAATTGTGGAATAAAATAGGATTATTTTTGGGAGGGGTAAGATACTTGGGCTGTATCAAAACATGGTGACCATAGAAACAATATTATAAATGTCATTTTTGCCCATTTATTGCTCAAGACATTTTCTCATCCTATTAAAATGGCATATACAATAAATATGTGCTCCATACAAAAGATGGTGTGATTTGCTATTTATTGTGATATTTGACACACTGATGTTAAACATGCCCATATATCCTCAGGTTTTCAGACACTTAGAAAATCCCTTTTTTCTTGATTATCACATGTAGGATGTGTAAAACTGACTGATTAAAGACAACTTTATGGCATTCATCCCAGTATTTAAAATGTCTGAGGTGCAACTCACCTCGTTCTAGTGAGTGCAAACTCTGCCGTACAAACATGTACAACATCCGAAAACATATCATCTTGTGGCTGATAAACCCCAGTTTGGACGTGATGGAACAACAATCCATGCCCAAATATTTTTACTCTACTCGCCAAATGGCATTTCCATTTAATTTAGAATTAATAAATATATATAGGTAAACTTGCTAAAATATTACTATCCTGTGCTAAGGACAAGTGGCTTAAGTCACAGAGTTTGAATATCCATCATTACAATAATGGGAATTGGAAATCACACAAATGCTGTTCTTTTTTATCATTACATTATCAGCATAGTCTAATTATATCACAACATGCCCATTTTAAGTTTCAATCAATATATAAGATTCATGGCTTTGACATGTTGTCTTGGCTGTTCTGACTTCTGATGACAATATCTGGCTTAGCAGCCACAGTAGTTGTTTTGAACATATAGTTCATACCCTTAACGATTACCATGTGTGGAATGAGTGGTATATCATTGATGCACCACAGTGTTTTATAACTACTGTAGACTATGGTCTTTCTATTTGGTTTAATCATTGATAATGACTGCATTTCTTTCACTGGTGAAATTCATCAGCCTGATTTTTAGAATGGTTACTTTCTTTGTAACACACATTTGGCTGCACTGTATGTCATGAGATGTACTTCAGTTTATTCAGATTTTGATCACCTTTCAATTTATTAGTCACACAATTTCTCAGGACAGACATCAGTTATCAGTTACAATTTTTGGAAGCACCTATATTTTTATACTCTCTGTAATGTTTACTTACTGTGAACACTGCACTTTGGACTTTGTACTTGAACATGGCACACAATGACCTGGGCAAAACACGAGAGGATTGACAATGCTATTTTTAACATATCTTGATGTCCCTTAATCTAAAACATCGAAGAAGAATGAAGATCATTGTTTTTAGATAGAATCCAATGAAATATTGCAGTATGGCAAGTAGTGCATGAGGTAATAAAGGTTGGTGATTTTAGATTTTCTCTTACATTTATTTATCACTAATATCAGTATTATGATAATGGTATGTTTGAAAAACACACAGTGAAATAATAAATGTTAAGTGAAAACTACGCCCTGAGGTAATGAAAGATGGTTGTTATGTTGCTATTCTTTCTTATATTTTTAGTCATTATTATGATCATAGTTGCTTGTGAAAAGTATGCTATGAGATAATACAAGGTAGTGTTTTTGTGCAGTTCTTTTTTATCTTTTTATTATCAGTATTGTAATTATAATAATAATTGCATTTATATAGCGCATCATTCACAAGTAAATGCTCTGTGCTCTTAAGATGGAAATTGACACTTGAAAAGAAATGTTTTGAGGCCAGTCTTAAAAGATGTTAGTGACTCGCTGGTTTTGAGTTCAAGCGGTTGTGCATTCCACTTCATTGCTGCATTGAAAGCGAACAACCTTTTGCCAAAGTTGGTTTTGATGTTTTGCACTGTCACTAGCATTTGGTTTTGTGATCTCAGTGAGCGTGAGGGCTGATACCGGGGCAGTAACTCTGCGAGGTAGTCAGGGGCCATTCCGTTGAGATAATTATGATAATGGCATGCATTTGAAAACCTTGCTCTTCTGGTCACAAAGTTTTATTGTTAATTTAATTCATGTCCATGATGTCTGGATAAGTTTTTGTGAACATCTGAAACATTTGGAATGCTTTGTGGATAAAAAACAAACAAAACAATTTAGAATCTCCCTCTCTCTCTCCCACCCCCTTTTCATTAGAATGTATGACATGCATATGATCATGATAAGGTTGTCGTTGATATAATCCACCTCAATAGTCTCACACATCACAAAATAAAAACACTGATTTAAAATGTGTGCTAAGCAATTAAATTTCCAGTTCAGGCAACAGTTACTTTTCATGCGCTATGACTTCTGTGAATGTTGGTTAAACCATTGTTGTCATGTAAGTGTATGTGTTGCAGGCCTCAGACGACCTGGCCATGTTCGTCACATGTACACAGAAACACGGAAAAACCTGTTGATAGGTTCCCACACAAAGCTTATCTGCCAGGGCTTTACAGGCAAACAGGTAACTTTTTCTCATGGGTCTGTTTAGTTGTATATGTAGCATTATATCTAGCTCGTAGTGGCAGTGAATGAGTTGGGCTTTTCACTGCTCTTAGCAATGTTCTTGCAATATCATTACAGGGAACACCAGAAATGGGCTTCATACATTGTACCCATGTGGGAAATTGGGGTTTCTGCATGATGAGCAAACACTTTGAACACTGGAGTACTCCTACATCCATATATTAGACTTGTCAATGAACATTCACATGTCACTCTGAAGACCTGTGTTCCAGTCCCCATATGGATATAGTGTGTGAAGACCAGTTCAGGTGTTCCCAACACTGGTATTGCTAGAATCAGGGTTTTACATAGCTCTTTGAAACTTGGAGTCCTGGGGACTCAGGGCATATGTATTCTAAGAGTCCATTTCCAAAATTGGGAGTCTATCAATTTGCATGAAATCAATGATCATGGATGCTTCCCATTTGATAATGATTATGTTATAATATGTGTTATTTTCAATGTCATTAGAATAATGATTGTAAACAGAATGTTTATATGTTAATATGGGATATCGTTACAAACTCAGAAAGTTCTTTCCTAGAAAAAAATTATATTGCATCCAAAGGACTCACTGGATTTTAATTTAGGGGTACGTCATCAAATTTCTGCGTCCAATACGCAGGAATCACATGTCCCGTAAAACCCTGTAGAATATTGTTAAATGTGGCATAAAACCATACTCACTCACTACTAGCTCAGGGCACTGTTACAAAATGCTTGACTGTTATCATCATGTAACTGGCATTTTCACAAATGCTATGTAAAACAAACACAACAATATGATGCTCTTTGAATGTTTAATAGTCGCTTGCATCAGTTTGATCTCTGTTATAATGGTCAGATTAGCAGGCATAGATGCCTTTGTAGTGTGAGGCTCATGAACATGGTGAATGCATTGAGCCGAGTTCTGTCACTTGCGTCAGTATCTGCTTCTATTTGGATTCTATGATAGTCTTAAATGTGCATGTGTCAGCATTATACCTTTGTTGGTACTATGGTAGCAGTCAGCATTCTGTATCACTTCATCCACATGATTTGCTGACATAACTGAGTTACTCATCAAAGCTGTGACACACCCAGCTAGCTCACCCATTTGAAAGGTTTCAGTCACTTCTCTGCCAATGGACGATACTTCACTTTGCAGTTTCCAGTATCTGAATCAGCATCTTTATGAAAACATAAGTCAAGGCTAATAACAGCTAAGAAGTATAAGATAAACACTAGTATGTTGTTATCGTCTTGCTCACATCATACCTTGTATTATGTTCAGGTGAAAAAACGTTTTGCAGCATAATTAGCATAGTCTCAAAGATATTTTTGCATGAACTTTGATTGAGAATTTCACCTGTTCTAGGGCACGTTCCACAGCCAACAGGCTATTGAGTATGGCTCACAGATGGTTGGTGGAGTGTCTCCAGCCAAGGCTGGACAGACCCATCTCGGACTCCCAGTCTTTGCCAGTGTCAAGGAGGTAAGTCGGTGCTCAACACCATGTCTCAGTGTATGTATGTGAATGAGTTGATTTTTGAAATATAAGTAAATGGTTCTGTGAACTTCTTTCTTCTGCCAGAACCTTGTAGGGAAGTAACGGACTTCCCTGTCAGTATGGTTAGGGAGTGTTGCCATGGATACTGTACACCAAGGATATTTATATAAGGAATGCATTGATTGTTATGGTAACTGTTTGACATATTGGTGACATATTTTGATATCAATTGTCTATGTCATTAGTTCCATGTTGTACCAGCAGCTTGTTAATGCAAGAACTGTAAAGTTAGGGTCCATTCATAATTTATGGCTTGGGGAGGTGATTATGATTTTAAGGGGTCCTGGGGATGTAGGGGGTCAGCAATTTTGTACATAAAATATTTTAGAATAATGCTTAAAAATTATGGTAGGGTGGAGGTTGTCACTGATTTTGTACAAGATATGGGGTGGGGGGTGGTCATTCTTATTGTACATGCTTCTTCATAAAAATCATCATCAGCCTCCACCCCAAGCCATAAATTATGAATGGTCCCTTATGTTTGTAATGTTTTCAAACAAATGTAATTTTAATACACCACACATCTGGTCTACCAGGCTCAAGAAAAGACGGGTGCAGATGCTACAGTGGTTTTCGTACCCCCACCTTATGCTGCAACAGCCATCATTGAAGCCATCGATGCAGAGATCCCACTATGCGTGTGTATCACCGAGGGCATCCCCCAACAGGACATGGTCCGAGTCAAACACAAGCTGGTCAGACAGAACAAGACCAGGCTCATCGGACCAAACTGTCCTGGGATCATCAAGGTAGAAATGTCTTGTCCACAAGAAAGTGGATCTGTCAGCTGTGTTTCAGTATTTCTCTGTCTAGATGTGTTTTACTTATGCGAAGGAACTAATACCAGGGATTTGATCCCCAGGTCATGTCATGTCAAAAGGCATTTAATGATGGCACTTGTTATTACCCAGCCTGGCACCCAGTTATCTTCCAGAATAAGGGAGTTTATTAGCATTTGCCAAGGTCTAATTTTCACCCTTGCCCGTTTATCCTTTCACCTTGTCTAGCACACTCTGATATGGTTGAAATAGTGTTTTAAGTGGTCACCAAACTCTCTCCCCTCACACTAGTGATTACTTTGTCTGAAATTCTATGTAAGTGACAACTGACTCCTCACTGTCCTGTTTGCAGCCCGGAGAAATTAAGATTGGAATCATGCCGGGACACATACATTTGAAAGGGAGAATAGGTGAGATGCTTTACAGTGTAAAGAAAGAGCTCGAGTTATGTCAAAGATAGAACTTACTGAGATTTTATTGTTTATTTACAGAGTCTTATGACAGGTGTAGTCATGCTTACATTATTATTATTTATTATTGGATATTTATATAGCGCACATATCCACGCACTAGTGCATGCTCAAGGTGCTCATATTTTTTCCCTAGAACATTGGATGTCAATCTCAACGGCATGTCTTATTATTAATCTCAGATCCCTGGGGATCATACAACTTGCGGCTTTCCCATCCTTACGAGGTACACACTAGGTGTTTGTACATATTTCATGTGGCCACCATCTAGTCATATACCAACGAATTCATGGGTTCTTTTAAGAGCACAGGGTTGTGTACTGTACACTAGGGGTTGTGACAACACTGAAAGAGTCTGCACATAAAGTTGACTCCAAGGTTTTTACACCCAGTCACAGGTGGGCTCAATCCCGACACCTCATGTTCGCTGGATCACTAGCCTGGCGCCTTAGCCAGCTCGTCCACCATGCCCCCTGAACATATTTTGGGGGTAAATATTCATCAGTGCAAGATGAAGCCCTCGACTTGCTCAAGTGATGTGATGGAATGTGGTTAAAACATTTCATGTACTGTAGGATGAAATTTGGATCGAACTGCTCAACTGGAAGCACTGTTCAAAACTGTGTCTTCACAGGGGGCAGGAAATTCATGCTACTGACTTCACAACAGTTTGTCATTGTTTCTGTACTTTGTGATAAGTAAGACTGCATACTGTTACCAGTATACCAAAATATGTTTTGCAAATGATGCATTGCATTGTTAGATTTTGTATGGTATAACCTGGAATATACCGGTACACCAAAATTCATTCATAAATTGTTTCCCTTTGAAATGGTTTCTCTTTCATAGTTATCTCCCTTGTTAACAGAATAACTTGAAATGCTGGGACTAGATCCTCAATTTTTTTACATTTCTTACTGATTTATAACTTTTCCAGGGTTTTGGCCTAATTTTCTTACCATTACTTGTGTTAGTCAGTGCAGCACTAATGTATTTATAGTGAACAAGAATTTCTTTGGAGATGGAGTCTTAGTCTTCACTGTCAAAAATATCCTGAGACATTCTGATCCCAAAGTCAGTGTTTATTTAGTATATGTACAAAATCACTTGTTTCAGGAATTGTATCTCGATCTGGCACTTTGACATATGAAGCCGTACACCAGACTACCGAGACAGGTCTTGGGCAGTCCTTGTGTGTTGGAATCGGTGGGGATCCCTTCAATGGCACAAACTTCGTGGACACCCTTGAGTGCTTCTTACAAGACCCCCACACAGAAGGTAGGGATGTTTCTGTTGAGATTGTGATTATTGTATGGACTTTGCCTTTATCCAGAACTCAAGTGCATGCAATATTCTACAACTCGTGCAAATTAGCAAGATATGACACCTCATGCAGTATGTAGAGGCTGTTATTTTGAGCCAAGACATAAATAAACCTGTGGAGCAATTTGTCAGTAAAACTTGTTGCTACAGTAAAACATGCAAAAATGGTGCTTCAGTAAACATTCCACATGACTGATAAGCACGATAAACACACAAAATGACCTGGTTCAATAAAACATCCTCCACTAGATAGTTTCATGTATACTGCTTGTAATTAACAATGAGCAATCAGACAAAGAAATAATAATTGCCGCTGCCACTCACACCAACTTTTCAAACCGCTGCCAATGGTCAAATTGTATTTCATAAACCATACTCACCCTGCTTACTTTTGTGGCAGTGTAAACGAGATGATAAACATGTCTGCATCTGTCTGGTGTCCCCATCGTGATGCTCCAGGAAACTCACAAACCATAGCCACTCAGTGTCGCACTCTTATTATTGTAGGTATTGTCCTGATTGGAGAAATTGGTGGTGGAGCTGAAGAGAAAGCTGCTGAGTTTCTGAAAGAACACAACAGGGTGAGTATGTTAGCAGTATCAGGACATTATCAACATTTTCGAGACACTTCTTGGAATATTTTAGATCCTTTTATTTTCAGTGAATATCTTTTAAGAACATGGCTCCGTAATTTTGCATACCCTTGATTTGTCTTGTCTTAAATGTTGTTCATCAAAAGAATGAACATGATGGTGAGAAAAATGTTGAACATCAACAATATATTCAAGATGTTTTCTTCATGATGTTGCAGATACAATATGTTTGTTAACTTTTAGTTCTTCAGTAGAGGTCTGTTATTCACATTGTACTGCTTGTTTCCAGGGACCAAATGCCAAACCAGTGGTTTCGTTCATCGCAGGTTTGACTGCTCCCCTTGGGCGTCGTATGGGACATGCTGGTGCCATCATTGCTGGTGGTAAGGGGGGTGCCGAGGAGAAGATCGAGTCTCTGAGAGCAGCAGGTGTTGATGTAACCATGTCCCCAGCTCAACTAGGAGTCGCAATGGCCAAGGTATGTAACACTGTGTCTTTCTTAAAGATCCCAGACCATATATTAAATGAAATGTTCACCCTATTAGATTCTCATCCCTCTTAGATTCTGTTCCCTCTATCAGCTGTAGCAGCTTCTTAAGTTCCCTTTTTAGCTCTGGGACCCGTTCCACAAAGTAAGGGGCGGTGGAGTAGCCTGGTGGTCACCCTGAAGGCCAGGGTTCGAATCCCCACATGAGTACAATGTGTGAAGCCCACTTCTGGTGTCCCCCGCCATGATATTGCTAGAATATTGCTAAAAGCGGCGTAAAATCAAACTCACTCACTCTCTCCACAAAGCAAACTCAGCCCTTAGGTTATCATTAGCCTGTGTTGAAGTATGTACATTATGATCACCTTAGGACTAAGATCGATTTGTGGAACTGGAACTTAAGATACAAAGTTTCCTATTTGTTTTAAAAGTTCCTTCATGAAACTTTTTGCTTTGCTTTAAGGCAGGGGTGGAAATAACTTTAAAATTGATAGTGTACTCCGGTACAGTGGCACATGTAATGTCACTTGCCCTGATAATTTTTCCACTATACCGACCGTTTTCTTGCTGATTTTTGAAATAAACAACATAATTAACATTGGAAAGTCAACTGGACACCGGTACACTGAGATATACAAATTTGCTTGCCCGACAGAAAAAAACACTGGACTCGGACATAGGGCAATGGGTTATTTCCACCCCTGTAAGGTTCCTTTCAAGACTGACAAATATCAATTGATTCAGCATAAAACACTCTGAAAATATTGCTTTCAATCTCCCATTTCAGGCTATGCAGAAGGCAGGGAGATAACTGCTGCTGGAATGAATGGCTGTAACTGTGTGCCAGGAGTGCGACCTTTCATTCATGTACAGTGTTACCAGTAGTCAGTCTTGGGTTAAGTTGGTAGTAGGTGCCATACCATTGGGGCAACTTGTTTACTCACTGCCTGGATGATGCAACCCGTAACCAGAGTGCTAAACATCAGTGACAGTAGGAGGGTCAACTGCATGCTGTATTCGTTATCCTTTGTTTCATCAGACATAAGCATGTCAAAATGGAAATAGGTCTCACAGCTCTTCAAAATTGGTTGAATAGGACACAAAATGAAATGGTTGAATGACTGGTTTGATTTTGACTTGTTTGCAAGGGTAAGTAGTGGTGTGGGCATTGCATTAGAAATATAACTTTATTGGAATCTGTGATATTATGTTTGCATCTGTTTATGACAGTAGATTTGCATTCTCTATATGTGTAAACAGATATTTACTGATTGTAGGTTCCCCTATCATGACCCTCAGTTTTGCAATATGCGATAGTGCAGCACCCAGTTGTGTCCAATGAATGGCATTATCCTTCACAGAATTACTCCAACAATCACAGAGAATGTTAATGTAATAAAGTTATATTGTTCATAATTTTATGTTGATTGAGAATTGATATTTCCTGTACCAAAGGTCAAATAAACCTAAGTTTGACCCTTTTGTTTGTTTGTTTTTGTTTTTGAAAATGTGGACTCAATTAAAGATGTTGAAACACTTTAACACTCTGGACATACAGAAATTGCTTTCATTTTACGTCACTAGAGGCATTCTCTGTGTCTGATGCTGGGAGTGCTTGGATGCAAAGCCTTTCCATCTCACAGAATTGGGAGTACATGAACACTGTATTTCTCCATCTCACTGTCTGAAGTTGAAGTTCATGGACATCTGTGTCCAGACCTCTGCTGTTTCATTGTATGAAGTTGGTGTGCATTGAGAAAGTACTCCAATCTCAAGATATCATCCAAAGTGTTGTTGAACATTCAAGAGGAATTTTTTTGCAGCACAGCAAAATTAAAATTGCTCAGAGGCTCAGTCCTTTCTGGTTGAGACAAAACCAGTTGCATGAGCAAGAAGGTGATCTGAAAGGATTTGGTATGGAAAGGTACGCAATATATTGTGTGTATCATTAAGTATGGCTGCATATCTGACAGTGATAACCTTTGGACACCTTAATCAAGTCTAGTGTTACAGTCATAGCCTTCAGAAACATTTGTTTTAACAATAATTCGTAAATCATCAACACAAAGAAGGTGGAACTTGGTACATATCACCCTTGGTGATTTCAGTATGGCCATGTTTCCTTTCAGACTTGTCCAATGCGAGCAGTGGTAAAATATACTCATACAAAAAGTATTGCAACATCTGTTTCATAGTATCAATATGTTACCATTACCATTGCAAAGGAACTATCCAAACCTCAATTTATCTTTCTATCCGGATGCATTGACCCCCTAATTAAATGGCAAATATAAAGTTAAAAAGGACGTAAAACTAGGTTATTTAGAGTAGCAAACATGGCAAAACAAATGACTCATTTTGTAGTGCTAATAACTATGGTCGTATGACGTTAACAAGTGCGGCCATTCAAGATTCTGGCATACAATCCTCTAGAAATCAACAATCAACAACTGAGCACAGATGTCAATATCTGTTGTAACCTCCGCCAACTGCAACAACACCCCTGACCTTTTTCCTCCCTGTATCAGACTTTGAACTTGACGTTGAGATATTGTGTTCCATTCTTGATGGTAGACTTGTACGTCAAGATTTTGCACTGGAGGATCTCTCTGGCGTCCTCTGCGACCCATAATGTTCCGGCCATGCTCTTTGGGGCTGAGATCTGGACTCTTGGCGGGCCAGGGTGGAGGTGCAACCGCCTCTTGACGTAAAAAATCAAGACACGTCAGCATTCTGCATTCCAATTACTTGTCATATTTGAGCAGTTGTCAGTTGAGAGGTCCCATATTTGCTTATCAACAACGAAACCCAATTAACTTCTTTGAGAGGCATTTAGAAGTTTGAGTAGTAAAGGAGGATAACAATATGTGGATGAACAACTTCTTTATTGCAGTGTGACGTTTAGGTGTAGGTTCTAACACCAGTAACAAGAAACGAAATCAATTGATTTTCCAATTAATCGAACTGTGAGAACAGTTTACTCGAACTTTGTATTTGCTTAATGACGGGTATACGTGATGCTCGCTTTTGATCGAGGCATGTAATGTGCATATACAAAATCCATGTATGGTGCGACCGAAGGGTAAAAATAATAACACATTCAAACAAACATAATTATGAATATAAATGGTTATTTGGGGGTACAAATCATAGATGTTTCGATACTTGTTTTCCATGTGTATTAACGGAGTACTTGAGCTTAATCTTACGATTACAGTCGAACGTCACCATAACCTACTTTCAAGGAGTGGCATATTCTGTGTTTGCGTTGCCACATTAAGTTCTTCCAAGGCCTAGATATTTCTTTGGTATCACGTGTCCGCGCTAAAATGTTCTTGAAACACAAGTCTGATAGTGAATTACAATTCCAAGGCCATACAGTGGGTGGGGTAGTCTGTCTCACAGTCCCTGAACCACATTATTTTCCCTACAGCCTAGCCTTCCCTGTAGTGCTAAAGCCCTAAACGAAGCAAGTCTAGATTTCCCAAGGTTCAGGATCTCTGGTCTCCCTAGGGCTCCTTTTCAATTTAAATGGGCTTGTTTGTTACTATCAAAATTATATATATTCAGAGACTAAGCCTTAGTCTATTGGTGGGGTAGTCCGATGGTTAAAGCCATGATGTTGCTGACATGTTTCTAACATTACAAGGTTTTGCAATTGTATGTACTAATTTATTTCTGGGGGCTAGCGTTCACATTTCAGACAGGAACTGAGGGTAACTGGTATTCAACCGAATGTCCGTATAACTCATGTTTTGAAGATGTCTAAAGAGCCATAACGTTATGTTCACATGTTCACCCTTGCTGGAAGTGATGTCATGAAACGCTTCATGTATTACACTTGTTTTTGATTATGTTCCACACAGGTTGTGGTGATTGTATATGAAATTCATGCATTTCATTTTTCTGTCTGACAATTCGGGATCGGGTGGTCAGGCTCGCTGACTTTGGTTGACACATGTCATCGGTTCCCAATTGCGCAGATCGATGCTCATGCTGTTGATCACTGGATTGTCTGGTCCAGACTCGATTATTTACAGACCGCCGCCACATAGCTGGAATATTGCTGAGTGTGGCGTAAAACTAAACTCACTCACTGTGACAATTCAGTGTTTGGTATATGTGCTAGGAAGACATGAAGCCTCAGTGTTGAGATCCCAACAAATTGCTTTCTCACTCCCTGATAGGGTTTCATAAGCGGAGGTCAACGGTTCGACCCAAAAGATTTTCATATATCGTACTTGGAGACAGTATTGTGTGTTCTGGCTGGGGTTTCCATGTTTAACAGTCACTCGGTATCTCAGTAGACAAACATTATATAAACACCATAACTCAGTCAGTCTGCTTATCTGTGGAGCATTTTGTGTGACGCCCTAGAACATGAACCCATCAGAAACCACGTGGTATGTCTTCATTTCTAAGGCTTTGTGAAACTGGTAGTGAAGGCGCATGGCTGCAGTTGTTACATATGTCCAGCCTTGTTAACACCATGATCATTAATTCAATGAATCAATGAATGAATGCAATCTTAGATCAAATATACCTTGAGTTTTAAAATACATCCTACATTTTCTGAAACCTGTTATGAACCAGCACTTGCAAGGAAATCCAAATAAGCCAATGCAATAATTGTGTAGATTGTGACATTATTTCAATGGTATGGGAATTTCGTGTTTAGATTCAACAGATTGTGTAAGGCTACAAAACGTGTAAGACTTCTATCACTCGCCATTCCTGTCAGCTTGTATTGGTCAGACACGTTCTGAGTGAGTGAGTTTAGTTTTACGTCGTTTTTAGCAATATTCCACCAATATCACGACACGAGACACCAAAAATGGACTTTCACACATTGTAGGGAAATTGAACCCGGTTCTTTGGCGTGATGAGCGAACGCATTAACCACTGGGCTACCTCATCGTCCCCAGACACGTTCTGAACTCATGAGAGGTCAATGTTGTCTAATGTACCTGCCATTACAAAGCAAAAACAGGAATGAAATATCTCCTCTTGCCCTTAGTGCCCTCTGGTTAATGGTAGTAAATAACATCTCCCCACCTCTTATGAAATAGATAAGATTGTAGGGCATGTTTGGCTATTTAGGAACGTTGACCAGCTGTTGAATTCAGTCCCACTGCGTTCAGCCATCATGTTGCAGGCGTGCATTATCGGAGTCCTTATTGGATGTTCACAGGCATTCCTGTTTAACCTCGGACGTAAGTTTTTTCAATGCTGGTTTTGAATGGCGTTTAGAAGTGACACACATGGAGGGGAAAAATCTCAACTTCTTTATTATAAGGGGAAATGTATTGATGATGAATTCATTGGTGTTAACCTTTTTATTATAAGGGGAACAATCTCAACTTCTTTATTATAAGGGGACAATTTATAGATGTCAACTTTTTATTATAAGGGGAAACGTTATTGATGTCACCTTCTTTATTTTAAGGGGAACAATCTCAAATTCTTAATCATAAGGGTGGGGAATTATTGATGTTAACCTTTTTATTATAAGGGGAACAATCTCAACTTCTTAATAATAAGGGGGAAATTTATTGATTTCAACATCCTTATTTCAGAGAACACACCTAAAACGAGGAAACTGACATCCATAAATTGTCCCCTTTATTTGAAAGTTATTCCTAACATTTCTTTAAATGGAAAATATGAACATGTACACAAGAGTTTATTGCGCTGTTCCCTTGTTGTATTCTGTGTGACTTGTTATTCTTCTTAAAAAGTTCAAATAATACATGAATATTTTGTTAATTAGTATATATTAATGTTACAAATGGTTCTGTTCAGAAGAACATAGTTTTACTGTTGGTTTCGTGGAGTAGAACCGCCGTGACCCCCACAGGGGTGAGATGATGGCTAATACCAGGCGGGTTCGAACCCAACTGGCGTTGTTTTCCGACATATTAATTCTCAAGTGTCAGCATAAAGCAATTCAGTCAATTCCAATCTTACATTAACTGAAATTTGGGTCTTACTTAACATAGGCGTGTATAAAAGATCAATATTGACATGGTTTTTAAGTCTAGATGGTTGACTTATGGTTAATATCATATCCTGTGGTTATCTCCCTTTGGGGATTCTGTGTCAGAATAGGGCGACAATACTTATGCTTGACTGTAAGGAACAAACTGACTTGTGCTAAATCTCCATTACTATCTTATTTCTTTGCAGCGACCACCTGGAATGGTCTTAAAGGTTAGATTTTATTCTTTTAAATCTTTGTTGTAAACAGAACGAGAGTGCGTGAGTTTGGTTTACGTCGCTTTATAGCAATATTCCAGCAATGTCACGGAGGTGTCACCAGAAATGGGCTTCATAAACAGAAATTTGGCTCACTGTGGAGAAAAGCATTACATTTTAATCGAAATTCTTGAGATGGGAGGCACTGTATTTCATTATTGTTTTGATATGGAGCTATCACTCCAATGCAAGTGATCATGTAGATGACGAAACTGTCATTATCGGTGATTCGCCATTTTGAAAAACAAGAAAACAACCCAACACATTAACGATGCGGGTCCTGGTTGAGAACTTGATGTTCCCTTGCATCCTGTGGTTGCTGTAAGAGGCGACAATGTGAAAACGGGTTGTCGTGCCTGGTTATTTTGATGTTCGAGGGTTGATCTTCACAACATCAATAACTGGCTTGTCTAGATCCGATTATTTACAAAACGCATGCCCCGATTAATCTTCAACATTGCTCGTGCCGTTCATAAACAAAAACGTATGTTCAATCAGATAGATGCATTTTTGAAATTTATTTGAGGAAAAGGAATGTTAACTTAAATGGGGTTCCAGAAGTTAAGGCAGTGTTGCCAGGGTTTTGTTGTAAAACTGTAAATGATTGTTGTTTAAGAATGACTGTATCTGGTTCCTATGTTATTATCGTCTTCCTCAGTGACGTGGGACGTCAACATCTTCAGTGCCAATGCCTTCAGCAGCCTCCCGAGGACGGAGTCTGCCGCTAAGTCTGCTGGGTGGACCATGATCTCGGACTGTGGAGGTACAACCTGCTGACCACCAATCATTACACCTTCGTCGGGGCGCGATTCACGATACGTATAAAAAAAAATAGTGGTGTTCCGATTAATTGAAATAATCGAAGATTGATCGCAGTGACCAAACGACCAAGCATTCGATCACATTTTCTCATAATCGAACATAAACGATTTTGGAACTACTGTTTTAGTCTTTGAAATACTTGACAATGGAACATATCGTTGAAGTTGTCAGGGCATGAAAACGTGTTTAATTCTTAGAAAACTCACTTCACTAACTGAAAAGCCATGACTGAATATTTCTTGAAGACTCCGGGAAGTTTATGTTCATGATATATTAGTCATCACTTTGAAGTAGCAAGTTGCATCATGTTATACATATCTGCAATAACAACCTGGATAGGAAAATCTGAAAAATGACGCTAACCAATTTTTTTCGATGATTGTTCGTTGGTAATGAAACAATCATCAATTGTGAGATTTCAACCAATTCCCAACAGTAATACGTACACTACACCATGAAAGACGTCCTACATGATGCCATACACTTTGAGAGACATAATGTGTGATACAATATGTAGTTACCTACACCATACCATTCAATATAAAATACGATACACAATATGATGCACTTTATCTAGGCCATACACGATCAATACTTTGAGTTGTAATTCATCACCAGAAGAATTACTTGAGATCCTGTCGGTACAGAGTACAAAGTTTACTGATACATTGAAAACAGATTAAGAAGTTTTGTACATGCAGTCTCAGATATCTTTTCACATTTCGTTCCTTGTCTTATAACATGTCATCATCAGACCGACATGCATTCTTTGTTCCGGTATATATATAACAGACTCATTATTGGTGTATCGCCCACAAACAATTCTCTGTAAATTTACGTAACCTGGTACATGCTAGGTCTTTTAACAAGATTGTTGAAAGGCTCCAAATGTTTGCTAAAATGCAAAAGGAAGATGCCCAGATTTGAGTTTATTATTAGATATCACGTTTCTGTAATTATTATAATTATTAGTGGCCAAGTATTATACATAGGCGTTCCCTTATCCCCAAAGGCGTAATATGTCTTTTGAGTGTGTGAGAGTATTTAAAAAACAAAATCTGCGTAATTTCACAGCTGCTCGTATTACTTATGCATTGTTACTATATTAATGTGACACTAAGACATACATGAAATAGACTCGGTATCTCCTCAACAGCTCATTCCAGCTTCGCCGGCAAGCGTTATGCGTTGTCCGGTGACACCGCCGTCGTGCTGTTGTACGATGTCAACGGCTACATAGCCGGGATACAGGCCGGGGTGAGTTTTCATATATCATTGCTGTACGTGTGTACAGTATAGAGCTCTATGAGCATGTACAGTATACAGCCGTACAGATATACTGTATAACTCTAGAAGTACAGAGTCTTCATAGCTCTTGGTATTCTGTATTTAGCCCAAGATTTTTAAGATTAGTTTCAGAAAACTCATTTTATCATTTAACATATCGGTCGGCGAGAAAATCTTTTGAGATAAATCCTACACGAAATTCTCTCTGTGTGATTGGCTACTCCATGGCGAGATGACCTTTTAAGGTCCTAGACTCCTATGCCTGGACTGCTTTCCATGGTTGTAATCCTTTTTGTTAAAGTTAATCGTGAGTCAAATTCTGTTGTTATGTCGAAGTTTTATGTTTTCTAGTGATTATAAATGTTCTTTACGTCTGTGTCTTGTTTTCATGTTTTAGATAATTATAAGTGATTATTAAATCTTATCTTGTTTTCATTGTCACCATTGCCTTGATAATCCGCAGATATGGAGGACTGACTGACTGACTGAGTTTAGTTTTACGCCGCTTTTAGCAATATTCCAGCAATATCACGGCGGGGACACCAGAAATGGTCAACACATTGTTAAATCGAACCCGGGTCTTCGGCGTGACGAGCCAGCTTTGACCACTAGGCTGTGCCCCAGATATGGAGGAACCTCTAGGAGGGTCACATTAGAAATGAGTAGTTAGTGTCTACTGTGTTGTGTGTTAATGTGCTTGTGTGTTCATGAGAAAAGACAAAATATGCAGGGATTCGAGACTCAAATGGTGTAATTTTGGAGTGCGTAAGAAACAGTGACTGTACCCATTCATTTCGCTCGTTAGATACCTTCTGATAAAACTCGTAAACAGTAATTCATGCGGCGTTTTTGATAACAACTTTTATTTATTCTTTATACGAGATAGAACATGTTTACACAATGCAAGGGGCGAGAATGTACAAAGATAACAATATAACAAGAAAGAGGGGATGGATGGGTGGGTTAATGTTCAAAGATAACAATATAATAAGAAGGAGGGGATGGATGGGTGGGTTAATGTTCAAAGATAACAATATAACAAGATGGATGGGTGGGTTAATGTTCAAAAATAACAATATAATAAGAAGGAGGGGATGGATGGGTGGGTTAATGTACAAAGATAACAATATAATAAGAAGGAGGGGATGGATGGGTGGGTTAATGTTCAAAGATAACAATATAATAAGAAGGAGGAGGGATGGATGGGTGGGTTTAATGTTCAAAGATAACAATATAATAAGAAGGAGGGATGGATGGGTGGGTTAATGTTCAAAGATAACAATATAATAAGAAGGAGGGATGGATGGGTGGGTTAATGTACAAAGATAACAATATAATAAGAAGGAGGGATGGATGGGTGGGTTAATGTTCAAAGATAACAATATAATAAGAAGGAGGGATGGATGGGTGGGTTAATGTTCAAAGATAACAATATAATAAGAAGGAGGGGATGGATGGGTGGGTTAATGTACAAAGATAACAATATAATAAGAAGGAGGGGATGGATGGGTGGGTTAATGTTCAAAGATAACAATATAATAAGAAGGAGGGGATGGATGGGTGGGTTAATGTTCAAAGATAACAATATAATAAGAAGGAGGGGATGGATGGGTGGGTTAATGTTCAAAGATAACAATATAATAAGAAGGAGGGGATGGATGGGTGGGTTAATGTTCAAAGATAACAATATAATAAGAAGGAGGGGATGGATGGGTGGGTTAATGTTCAAAGATAACAATATAATAAGAAGGAGGGGATGGATGGGTGGGTTAATGTACAAAGATAACAATATAATAAGAAGGAGGGGATGGATGGGTGGGTTAATGTTCAAAGATAACAATATAACAAGAAGGAGAAGGGGATGGATGGGTGGGTTAATGTACAAAGATAACAATATAATAAGAAGGAGGGATGGATGGGTGGGTTAATGTACAAAGATAACAAGAGACTCATTATTGGTGTATCGCCCACAAACAATTCTCTGTAAATTTACGCAACCTGGTACATGCTAGGTCTTTAACAAGATTGTTGAAAGGTTCCAAATGTTTGCTAAAATGCAAACGGAAGATGCCCAGATTTGAGTTTATTATTAGATATCACGTTTCTGTAATTATTATAATTATTAGTGGCCAAGTATTATACATAGGCGTTCCTTTATCCCCAAAGGCGTAATATGCTCTTTTGATTGTGTGGAGAGTATTTAAAACAAAATCTGCGAAATTTCACAGCTGCTCGTATTACTTATGCATTGTTACTATATTACTGTGACACTAAGACATACATGAAATAGACTCGGTATCTCCTCAACAGCTCATTCCAGCTTCGCCGGCAAGCGTTATGCGTTGTCCGGTGACACCGCCGTCGTGCTGTTGTACGATGTCAACGGCTACATAGCCGGGATACAGGCCGGGGTGAGTTTTCATATATCATTGCTGTACGAGTGTACAGTATACAGCTCTATGAGTATGTACAGTATACAGCCCTACTGATATACTGTACAACCCTAGAAGTACAGAGTCTTCATACCTCTTGGTATTCTGTATTTAGTCCAAGATTTTTAACATTAGTTTCAGAAAACTCATTTTATCATTTAACTTGTTTCGGACAATATCGTAATGAAGATTAAATCTGAAATCTGACACGAATATCTCTTTTCTTACATATCGGTGGGCGAGAAAATCTTTTAAGATAACCTAGACTCCTAGGCCTGTGATTGGCTACTCCATGGTGATGACCTAAGGTCAAAGTATGTCGGACTGCTTTCCTGATTGTTATCCTTTTTGTTAAAGTTAATCGTGCTTTAGTCAAATTCTTTTACGTCTGTGTCGAAGTTTTATGTTTTTAGGGATTATAAATGTTCTTAGGTCTTATCTTGTTTTCATTGTCACCATTGCCTTGATAATCCACAGATATGGAGGAACCTCTCGAGGAGGGTCACATTAAAAATGAGTAGTTAGTGACTACTGTGTTGTGTGTTATTGTGCTTGTGTGTTCATGAGAAAAGACAAAATATGCAGGGATTCGAGGCTCAAATGGTGTAATTTTGGAGTGCGTAAGAAACAATGACTGTACCCATTCATTTCGCCTGTTAGATACCTTCTGATAAAACTCATAAACAATAATTCATGCGGCGTTTTTGGATGTACAAAGATAACAATATAATAAGAAGGAGGGATGGATGGGTGGGTTAATGTTCAAAGATAACAATATAATAAGAAGGAGGGATGGATGGGTGGGTTAATGTTCAAAGATAACAATATAATAAGAAGGAGGGATGGATGGGTGGGTTAATGTTCAAAGATAACAATATAATATAATAAGGATGGATGGATGGGTGGGTTAATGTTCAAAGATAACAATATAATAAGAAGGAGGGATGGATGGGTGGGTTAATGTTCAAAGATAACAATATAATAAGAAGGAGGGATGGATGGGTGGGTTAATGTTCAAAGATAACAATATAATAAGAAGGAGGATGGATGGATGGGTGGGTTAATGTTCAAAGATAACAATATATAAATGTTCAAAGATAACAATATAATAAGAAGAAGGATGGATGGAAGTGGGTTAATGTTCAAAAGGATAACAATATAATATGAAAGAAGGAGGGATGGATGGGTGGGTTAATGTTCAAAGAGATAACAATATAATAAGAAGGAGGGGATGGATGGGTGGGTTAATGTTCAAAGATAACAATATAATAAGAAGGAGGGATGGATGGGTGGGTTAATGTTCAAAGATAACAATATAATAAGAAGGAGGGGATGGATGGGTGGGTTAATGTACAAAGATAACAATATAATAAGAAGGAGGGGATGGATGGGTGGGTTAATGTTCAATGATAACAATATAATAAGAAGGAGGGGATGGATGGGTGGGTTAATGTTCAAAGATAACAATATATAACATCTATATTTATTCACTCTGTGCACTGACTCAGCATTCATCTGGTGAAGGAGCAAGAAATAGATCTAAAAACTTCGCATAAAGAATAAATAGAAGTTGCTCTCCATAAAACGTGACATGTATTCACGTTCGTCCAACTTCTAAATGCCTTGCAAAAACTCGTAAACTCGTAATGTTGCCAGATACTCGTGCAGTAAACCCTGTTTAGATAACATGATCCTGTCATGGTACTATCTTATATCACAGTATCCATGTCTTGATGTTTGATGCCTTGACCGAGTCACATCGTTTGATCTGTTTTTCAAAAACTGCACTAATTATTTGTTATGGAATATATACAAACAAACCATTCAAAGAATTGAATTTTAAGGTGGATGTTCACTTTTTTTCTTTCAGGGAACACGTCCGAGCTCACAACATGCATCATCTGTTAGATAACCATATTCCTTCACTTTAGAGTACTGAAACAAGGGGCGGTGGGGTAGCCTAGTGGTTAAGGCGTTCGCTCGTCACGCCGAAGACCCGGGTTCGATTCCCCACATGGGTACAAAGTGTTAAGCCCATTTCTGGTATCCCCCGCCGTGATATTGCTGGAATATTGCTAAAAGCGGCGTAAAACCAAACTCACTCACTCACTCACTGAAACATTGAACGTGTTACACTCTTGACGCCAAGCACCTGCTGTTGCAGATCTCCTCAACGCTTCAAAATGGATACCCCCATGCTCCTATGAAGGGCCACCCATTTGTCATGGCCGACGGGAAACAGTTCATCACAGCCTACTTTGTTGATCCAAGTCAGTATACACCCGGGTAGTATTTATACCAACAGCCAATGTGTTTTATTCATGTTTTATAGTAAAACGGTTGCTGATTCTCCATACGAAGCAAGTATGTAATGATGATGATACAATAGAAGTGATGCAGACATCCATACCATACCAGACCAGGCTCGGGTACCGAATTCGGGTGACGGATTTGGGTACCGTGGGTCTGAATCCCAGTCAGCCAAGCTTGAAACATGTTGGATGTCATGGTGACTTTTAACTCGTAGGACCAAGTTTGTTCAATGCAAATCACACAAGATTGCCTGTGGCCATATTAGAGTGAGTGAGTTGTTTTTACGCCGTTTTTAGCAATATTCCAGCAATATCGAGGCGACAAGAAATGGGCTTCACATGTTGTGCCCATGTGGGGAGTCGGACCGGGGTCTTCAGCGTGACGAGCAAACGCTTTAACCACTAGGCTACCCCACCGCCTCGACCATATTGGAAATACACAAATGCATGAGTGATCCATCGCAAACACCTATTCACACTTAACAAATGAAGCTTAACTTAACAACTCAATATGCTAATCCTTCAAACGACGATACCTGATGTGTCCTAGAGGTTTGGATCATATTTGTACAACATAATCGTATGGCCATTTGTCTGCAATAGAAATATGGCGCATGGCAATTGCAATTCTATGTTAACCTTTGATTGCAAAATCGTCCACTGTTTTTCTTGTTGCTATGTTTATGGTTGCTATGGTTTCAGGTACAATCTGCAGCAAGGGTAGAACCAGCAGTATGTTTAGCTCCCAGGGTACCGGAACTGACCTCTTTATCCAGAATGGTACCAGTCCATCCCAAGTGCTGAAGATACCCAGCCAGGAGACCGGCGTGCAAAACACAAAGTGGGTCAAGGGACACTGCTTCCCTTCTATGGGTGAGTGGACAACACTGAAATCTTACCCATGTTGCACTGTTATGAAACAAGGGTATGCAAATGACATACGACGTGTTGCATTTCGGAACACACATATATATAACTAGTAGAAGAACATGAAATTAGTAAATCGTGTGAGAGGAAATATTTTTGTTTCACCCGAATTTCGGAACCATGCGTTTATAATGGACTTCGTTTCATTCAATGTTGTGGCATCAGATTACTGTGTACACTGTGGTGTTAAAATACTCGGGTCTATTTTTCTTAATATCGTATGAAACCCGTAAAGTACGGGTTAGAATCGGTTCAGTAACCCATGCTTGTCGTAAAAGGCGACTAACGGGATCTGGTGTTCAAGCTTGGTCGACACATGTCATCGTGTCCCAGTTGCGAAGATCGATGTTCATGCTGTCGATCAATGGATTGTCTGGTCCAGACTCGATTATTTACAGACCGCCGCCATATATCTGTAATATTGCTTAGTGCGGCGTTAAACAACAAACAAACAATCTAATATCGTTCAAGCCTTTACATTTCATCATCGAATCCAGTGAAGGCGTAACTGTTCCTGACGAAATAGAGCATTTCTATTGTAGAGCAATATCCGTGCAAATATACACCTCACTGAAAGGCATCTGTTTCAAGACGTAATCACTGTAATTATGAACTTGTCAACATGAGTTGTAACACAGCGTTTTCTGACGTGTTGAAGGAATGCACTATTGGTACAACATACGGAAAGACATGAGTTGTGATGACTTCTACCCCGTATTCTTACTCTACAATGGCGGGAAACTGAACGCTTTCGGATGGGCTTTCAACGCTGACCTTTCTTCTTCTCGTTTTGAACATCCACCACAAAGTGTAATTGGGGTATGTTTCATGCATATATAATGATTGTCCTTCGTGCTGTATTTTATACAATATTCAATTTAACAGTGTTATTATCTGCGTGGTTCAAACAGAGCGAAGAGAAAATTTCCACTCAAAATATGACCTTGTTTTTCCACGGTATTGTTGAGGCAACGCAGGGGCCATTGTTGACGTTGTATAATATTGCGGTTGACGCAAGCGTTTGGACGTTGACGTCAAAGGTTATCATTGCTGACTCTAAGTCTGATTTATGCAGAAACAAATTGATAGCGTTATATCAATATCATTGTTAACGTCAGGTGGACGTTGACGTCATAGTGCATTATGTTGATGCTATTTATGCTTTATGCAAATACATTGTTAACGTTGTATCAACATGACGTAACGTTATATGACCCCCGGTGGAAGGTGACGTCATAGTGTAGCATTGTTGACTCGATATGCTTCTAGGCTGAAAACATTGTTAACGTTATATCAAGACGGTTGTTGTAGGGGGATAAAAGGACGTCTAAGAGTATAATAACGTCATAGTCTGTCAATTTTCACACTAAGCAGAAAACACTGTTGACGTATTAACGTAGAAAGTGCCTAACTGTGGTATTCTGATTGGGACCAAAGCGTACATTATAAGTTGTTCACTGGTCACGAATGGGACATGGGCTGATGTACCCTCGATGTTTGTTTATGTTCCCTGAGCCCGAAACATCGAGGGTACATCAACCCCTGGGCCCCGAGGGACCAGTGAACAACGTGTTTTATCTTACCGAACATGGATCAGATCATAGTGTGGAGTACCAGACGACACAATGCCAAGAAAAACAATTAAGAGTTATTTCCCTTCCATCGATGTGCATTTGCAAAACATCGGTAATTTCTGTACATCATACGTTATTCAATGTTATTCGAGATAAAGAATTACTACTACGAAGTACCAAATGAGTTCGGCATTGCCAGCGGGGTACATAGAAAATGTTACTTGCTTGTAAGCGGGATACATTGAAAATAATAGACGAGCGCTCAGCCAATCGGAAAACGACATTTATGTTTGAGGCAAGATAAGTATAAGATATAACCTGCACTATAATTAGGTGATCCATAAGATTCCTTAACCACCGGTCCCTTCGTGGTTGTGGGTTGGGTCCCTTGGCTGATCTACGAGTGACCCTCTCGAGACCGGTCGCCCACATATATTTCTCTTAATCTCAGTTAGACAGGTGCGTAGTTGTTTATATTTACCAAGAATGTTTCTGTCAACTTCTAATGTTGACATATCCACGATTGCGATATCTGATGTCAGACTTTGTCCTCCAGGCCTTTCTGAACCCAGTACCCGACTGTCTCAGCAAGCAAGGGCGGCTCTCAACCATGCACATCTATCTTACCAGCCAACCGGAGCTCGACACGTGTTGAATGGTAAACAACGTGCTGATGGACAAAGGAACCACATGGGATGCTTGTGATGAGAACGATCTTAACCTTTCTTCAGGCGCACATTGTACCCGTTCAGCAATAAAGGTGTTTATATAATGTGCTGTGAGGATCTTGATTTATAATAAACTCAGGAAAAATAGAATCAGCTTTGGGTTATCAATAATTGTTTTCAATTGTTACACTCCCACCTGTATTCTATGCATAGTTACCAACCACTCTGTCTTGAAGTGATTTTGGGTTGGACTCTACCAAAATTCGACTCAACTCACTGACAGCCAGCACTGAGAGAAGAAATCCACAACAGAAGAGGATTAAGTACATATAGTTTCACTAGTTAAGGTCACTGTTACTTTACACACAAAAATTCTGTGGCTATCGTGGAACTTAAATATGACACTCGATATCAGATTACGTACTTTATTTCTATTAGATATAATAATACCAACTCGCCAAGTACGCTCTACTGTTCTACTGTATGGGCAGGGATGGGCCGGTGTCTGGTCTATAGTGCAATCATTTAACATATATTTTCATTGTTTAATGCTTCCTTAGCAAATGTACACGAAATATTACATGTAAATATTCGAGTCTGGATCAGACAATCCAGTGACTGTAATTATTGTCAACGCTTTTGACAAGCAAATGAACCAGGTGACCAGAAAGTGACGACCTGATCCGTCCATCGCCCAACACAACTTATATAGGCTTTTGGAGACATTGATATATACTACTCCTACACTTTGCTAAGGATCACAAAAATTCACAACTTTACTTAAACGTAGATTCATAATTTGAAATTGTGTCCATTTAAAACTGGATAAATAATAAAATGGTAACCCCTCTTTAGGCAAACAGTCACTTTAATCTAACCTTGTGCACTTGATACATGAGTAACCATAAAAATGGTTTTCATGGCACCAATCAACCATTTTGCAAATCATTGAATGAGTCATTGACAAGTACAAAACACCTGTCAATAGCAGGTATGGGATCCACAAGATGAAATGACACACTGAAATCTAGGATCCATGCTTACAATATGCTTAGATATGTATATCCAATTTGACCCGACATCATAGTTTTCTGTTGAATCCACGAGTAGGGTTTTCTGGCACTGGTGGTTTTGTAGTGAAGATGTCCTCATGCACCGGTTGCTGCATCCACGTTGGAGGATGTTACACGTGACACAGTGGTGATGTAGAAGTAGTCGCTATGGCAGCGTTCCGACGATGCTGGATAACGTTGGTCATATACTGAGGGGAAAAAATAAGGAATCACATGAAAAAACAAGCGATATGGATACAAAGCTTGTGAAGAAACCTTTGAAAAAAATAAAGGAACACTTGTCCTTTCATGTGATCCCTTATTTTTCTCCCTCAGTATATAGTTCAGGCGAGTAATTCTCACTCACGTATACCACCTGGTATTGAGCTGTGATTGCAATGGCTACAAAACAATTCCAAGGCATTGTGACTGTTTTACCTTCAATAAGGAACTGCCCTAAAACATATATAATTAAACTTTCTGATCAGGGCAATACCCATAGTGATGAACTTGCTGTTATGAGCATGTGCGCATGTGTTTTATGAATATTAAAAGTCAGCGATATAGTCAACCATTCTGGGTAACCCGATATAACAGGTTCCACTGCAATTGAGTGAGTTTAGTTTCACGCCGCTTTCAGCAATATTCCAGCAATGTCACGGGGGACACCAGAAATGGGCCTCACACATTGTATCCAAGAGGGATTCCACTGCAAGTAATAGGCCAAACAGCGGTGTGGGCTAGCGTTCAATACTGAAAGTCGCACGGGACTCTTTATTCTGTGTGATTATCTCCTCACCTCTCAGTACTTCTGTAATACAAGCCACCCCTATGTTTTGGCGTGCAGTTAATGTTTGCCAGTGTGCCACGAGCACACTAAACGCAGTATTCCTCGATTGATCGCTCGCTGAACAAATGGTCTGACGTTCAACGCCCATATGGCATATCTAAAAAACATGTGTCCACGTGGAACCACTTGCGTGAACTGCACTTATGTTCCTCAGCTTTTCTTCTTAAAAGGGAGGACATTGGTTTATGCTCTTGGATAAGATATCCATGTTTGTCAACACATGTCCTTAGATACATTCAGCTGGGCGGCTCGGCACTTGTATAAACAAATGTCGGTGAAATATTAATATGCACTACTTTTCAAATAACGTAAACGTTTCAGGTTGCACATTCCCATATATGGTACTCACAGTGATAGTCTATAAGTACAGTCAATCAAAGAGATTGAGGTATACTGCAGACTTGGTGTGTCAGCGTGAACAAGCTCCTCACAGCATGCTGCGTTTGGCCGTTCTCTTCACAGCAATTACTTTATGTAATCCTTTCTTCTAGGGAAAATGTAGGTTCAGTTGTTCTTGATTGGTTGATCAAAAATTAAGTTCTGCTTTACCTTTTTTCTCTCTCTCTCTTTTTTTTTTTTTTTTTTGGGTGGGGGTGTAAGTATTTTTATTCTGTTTGGCTGTTATCTTTAATGGGGGATTATTTAACGCGATACCCACCAGAGACAAGCAGATTGGAATTATTTTTCGTTCGTGATACCTTTTTTCGGGTTTTCATAAATTTTGTGATTACATGAAATCGTTCATTTCACATTGTAATCATGGTAACAGATGGGGAGTAGCAACTACAACAGTACGGTTCTTACAGACAAGGGCTATGTTAGTACCTAGTGGGGTCTTCATCTGTTCCTCAAATGCAGTTTAACCGATGTAACCTGTAAATGTAACCTAATGATGAAAAGAACAACAGATGTTGTAACAGATGACCTCCAGTTAGACCAAACCCAAATCCTATTTCTATTTCAGCTCCAAATTGGGACAAGCTCCAAGGTCGGCCTCCTGTTCACCCTACCTGTTTCATACGTACCTAACAGATTGTTCAACAATCCAAACGTCAGTTTAGTTTGATATGTTTTTGCAGATTTGAATTAATATCATTTTCAGATTAAACTGAATAAATGCACCAGAGAGGGTTCGGTGAATGGGACTTTCCTCTGATTGTTCTTATCAAGAACTTTTCCATGAGTGTGTAGGCTTCCCAACACTGCAGCCATCTGCATTACCCAGAGTGTCAGGGGGGTTGTGCTTTTGGCAGCAAACCCGGCACCTCTCCTAATGTCAGCCAAGAGACTGGGATTTACCAAATCTAAGACAATAAGAACAGAGAACACGAATGGTACCTGGGATGCAAACATGACATTTCGAAAGCATGATCTGAATATTTGCCATTGTTTCTGAATCTTACCAATCGCATTTATGTCAATAGGGACGGAATATTGAATGATAAATATGATTTTATTGGTTTTAAAAAACGTCATGGTCAGGTTTGTTGATTTGTATCTGTCAAAGTCTGGGCCTGTTTCAAATAACACTACAGTAAAAGCCATGAGCATGGCGAAAGAGGTAATAAAAGGATCGACCCAAGCCATGAAGTCGCCTAAAGTACTGTGTTGGTGCCAAAGCTGAGAACCAACTATTGAACAGTCTCATCAAATTCATTGTTTAATCATACATTTTATATTTACATTTTAATGCAAAAATTGTTTTTCGTGTTTCGATTATGAAGTGACTGGTCCCGAGCAATGAACAGAAAGCCTTCTGTTTCACGTTTTAGGCCGGCCTACTTCTTCCAACTGAAGGCCTCAACACACTGCATAGTAACTTGATGCACTGGCCATTTATATAGTCAAGTCAACAGAGAGTCAACAAAATCAACATTGGCAATAAGATTTTGTCCAACATCCTGGTCTTGTTTCAGGAAACTGTGTGAAGCCTTGTTTTCATCATGAGCCTTGACATGCTTTACAAGAGACTACTTGGATAAATGTTGTGTGACTACTTTTCAAAAGTGCACAATAACATTCTGTCATGAGAAGCCTTCAGGTTAATCAAATCTCGCCCGAAAATATAATCGATTGAAGGAAGGGCAAGGGGATTATCTTACGTGATTATCTAACGTGATTATCTAACGTGATTATCTTACGTGATTATCTAACGTGATTATCTTACGTGATTATCTAACGTGATTATCTAACGTGATTATCTTACGTGATTATCTTACGTGATTATCTAACGTGATTATCTTACGTGATTATCTCACGTGATTATCTTACGTGATTAATCTACGTGATTTTTCTTGTGAGGATGTAAAAGTAGTAGTAGTGGTAGTAGTAGTAGTGAGTGAGTGAGTGAGAGTAGTTTTACGCCCGCTCTCAGCAATATTCCAGCTTTATGGCGGCCGTCTGTAAATAATCTAGTCTGGGCCAGACAATCCAGTGATCAACATCGATCTATGCAGTTGGAATACGATGATATGTGTCAACCAAGTCAGCGAGCCTTACCACCCGATCCCGTTAGTCGCCTATTACGACAAGCATGGGAACACAGATGACGGCAATCACAAACACATACAAACAAAGCACGAGAACATATGTTTCGAGTCATAACCGGTAGACAATAGAGACAAACTTTATGTGATTCAAGTTTACGATCGTTCTTTTATTTCGTGAGCATGCGACGTTTAGATACAGATTCATGTACCGAAGTTTTTTTTTGTGTCAAGCATGACAAAAACTGGACCCACACAGAGTTGAGTCTTCTCGTGGAATTTGTCGAGGCAAAAAAAACCTTACTATTTTCGTCATTCACGAACAATGTAACAAACATCATGAAGAAAAAGGCATGGGATGACAATGCATGAGAACGCTCGGTTTGGTAAGCAAGATATGGCGATAGTGAGTTTACAAGCTCAAAAATGGCATGACGTGGTAGACGATATCGCCGGACTATGCTGTCATCATCCAACGTATCGAGAACCCGAGTTCGGTCCCGAAATACCCTTGGTCGTGATGGTTTTGACTCTTCTTCAACTAAGCCGAGCAGAAAATATGCAGCCATCTTAATTCTCAAGTTACGACAGAAATGTTTGATTTACGATAGGCGCTGGCCGTTCTTAAATTTTCTCTTAACTTTACGAGATGTTTTCACTAAGATAGCTTTGTGGATCGCTTAAGATTTGTGTCTTAAAGTTACGATAGGTTTTAC